TTACGTGTTTCTACATCTCCTAGCCACCGTGTGTGCCACGGTGGCTAGGAGATGTTGACTACCTCGCCTGGTAGACAAGGAGGTCGTGGTTTCGATCCCGACCCTGACGCCTCTATATTTGTAGTTTGCGTGTCTTTCTCTCTCTCTCCACGTGGCCGCGTGGTTTTATTTCTCTGGGTCCTCTGGTTTTTTCCCCTCCGCATTTATAATGAACGTGCGTTTAGAGTATTTGGCTGCTGCTATAAATTTCCACGTGATAAGCCACTTCGTTGGGCTATCATTTGTGGCCAAGTCGCTTCTGAAAAATAGCTATGGAGATCAATGGGCCTTAGGGGCTGTCCATAAATGACGTCACGCGATTTTGGACGATTTTTGACCCTCCCCCCCTTCGTCACACGGCGTCACAAAGAGTCAAACTCCCCTCAAATATGACGTCACAAAGCTCTGCCCCCCCCCCCCCCAAAATAAAGCATGCTTCAAATCGCTTTAAACTATTGTCATTGTAGGGCGTATTTAATGTGGCGCTGCACTCTGATGTTGTAGGAGAAAACATTTATTCAAAAGTCTATTTAATTAAGTAGAACGTGTTGTCCATATTGCGCATTTTGATGTGACGTCACATTTCTCAAACCCCCCCCTTGTCACACATCGTCACAAATGTCTGACCCCCTCCCCCCCCCCCAGGTGCGTGACGTCATTTATGGATGGCCCCTTACCTGGTAAAATAAAAAAACGTTTAATTCAGTTGAACTCATTGACGACTCCCCATTCAAATACAAATTAACTCGTTCCACGCTGCACGCCGCCCGGTGATTGTTAACGCGTCCCACGTGACGCACTGTGCAATTATTAACTCATTCTGCACTCTTTGGTTCTTTCGGTAAAGTCACGTAGGTAGAGAAATAATAGATCACGACGTTTCGATCGCAACACAAGCAATCGTCATCAGGTGGGACAACCACAGCAAGAAAAAAACTGCTGTGGTTGTCCCACATGATGACGATTGTTTGTGTTGCGATCGAAACCTCGTGATCTATTATTTTTCTACCTCTACGTGACTTTACCGAAAAAAACAAAGAGTATGGATTCCCGCAGTCACGAAAGCTTCAAATGAAGATGGAACTCTTTCTGCGTTAATAGAGTCCATTCCAATTAAGATTCAGCTTTCAGCGTGCGCGCGTGTGTGTGTGCACGTGATGCCTTGCAATAGGTGTCTATTTAGTGTTTTAACATCTATTCTTTGTTCATCAAATGTCCCACGTGTTTCTGCGATCGAAACTTCGTGATCTATTCTTTTTCTACCTCTACGTGACTTTACCGAAAGAACCAAAGAGTATGGATTCCTGCAGTCACGAAATCTTCAAATGAAGATGAAACTTTTTCTGCGTTAATAGATTCCATTCCAATTAAGATTCAGCTTTCAGTGTGCGCGCGTGTGTGTGTGTGTGCACGTGATGCCTTGCAATAGGTGTCTATTTGGTGTTTTAACATCTATTCTTTGTTCATCAAATGTCCCACGTGTTTCTGTGGAGCGGCAGCGAAGTATGCCGTGCAAGAAGTTTTCTTAGCATTGAGATCAACCTGAAATATTTAGTACTCATAGCAGAGATTTTTCTTAATCAAGCAAGATAAAATGCACGTGATTATTGGTGCAGTGATCAGCGACTGAGACAGTCAATTAGTTACAATTGAGAACAAGTAAAGCATTAATCATGATTATTATATCATTATTATTAAATAAGTAGACGATAAGCCGGGATCTCAGTGCTCCGAGATCGAGAATTGGAAGATGTCGAATGAGGGCTGCTGCTGAGTAAACCCTCCGCAAGCTTGTCCTTCCACCACTCCGATTAGGAATCTAACTCGGTTGATGTGTACTCAGGAGGCAGCCGCAATCGCTCCGATACAAAACACGCGGCATTGGAATTGATGAAACATCACAATGCAGAGCCCTCCTGGAAGATTATTGAGCCTCGGTGATGCTTGTCTGAATGTATGTTGTTGGGTTAGATATTTAGATTGCGTAACACACCGGTGTGCTGACGTAGTAACGAACTGGGACGTTTTGTTCACAGTGACACACCTTACTGATTGACTGTGTTGGGTCGTGGCGGGTTTAAGCGACGCACATATTTTCGCGATATAACCCCCAAAAATACCACTTTATTACGGATAATATTGGTCGCGAAAGCCTACGCGTTAAACTAATCGTTGGCATTATTATTATTATTGGTGAACAGCCTCGATGGCCGGCCGGCGTGGTGAAGTATGGTTAGTTGACCCCACGTCCCGTCAATGACAAAATGGCTAAACATTATTCCATTTAAAATCTGGGTAGTGAACAAGATATATAATTTTTAAAGATGTGTACACGTGTATCAGACTCTATATATTCTCAAAGATTAAGACATATATAAAGAAATGATATTTAAATGGTAGCCAAACAACTAATAAAAACGATAGGATAGTTCTGGACACAATATTAGTGGGGTTACACAATCAATACGGCATGCAAGGAAGGCAAGTGACAGAATGGCAGCCAGAGGGAGACATATTTTTTTATAACGGCAGCCTCCAAACGCCAATAAGTGGCGGTGGCGTCACCAGGGCGTTTGTGCCAGGCTAGATGCACTCCCAAGGCCACGTGAATAATGTGGAAGGCTCACTGGCAGGAGGTCACGTGACAGACCCAGGTACCATGGGTTGACTGCTGTGCCAGGCTAAGTGCAGCAGGAGATCTCGGGACAGACCCAGGTGCCATGGGTTGACTGCTGTGCCAGGCTAGGTGCAGCAGGAGGTCACGGGACAGACCCAGGTACCATGGGTTGACTGCTGTGCCAGGCTAAGTGCAGCAGGAGGTCACGGGACAGACCCAGGTGCCATGGGTTTATTGCTGTGCCTGGTCAGGTGCAGGAGGAGGTCACGGGACAGACCCAGCAGGTGCCATGGGTTGACTGCTGTGCTAGGCTAGGTGCAGCAGGAGGTCACGGGACAGACCCAGGTGCCATGGGTTTATTGCTGTGCCAGGTCAGGTGCAGAAGGAGGTCACGGGACAGACTCAGGTGCCATGAGTTTACTGCTGTGCCAGGTCAGGTCCAGGAGGAGGTCACGGGACAGACCCAGGTGCCATGGGTTGACTGCTGTGCTAGGCTAGGTGCAGCAGGAGGTCACGGGACAGATTCAGCAGGTGCCATGGGTTGACTGCTGTGCCAAGCTATGTGCAGGAGGAGGTCACGGGACAGACCCAGGTGCCATGGGTTTATTGCTGTGCCAGGTCATGTGCAGGAGGAGGTCACGTGACAGACGCAGGTGCCATGGGTTGACCAACTGCGATGACGAGAAGATGCACCACCTGTGCCCTTTACTGTGCTGAAGGAGAGAATGCGATCACGACTCCCACCACTTGGATGTGGAGCGATACAATCAGCTCGTGTGCAGGAGTGAGATGGATAGCAGCAGCACTGGACAGAGTGAGAAATAGCGACGACTTTGGGCGACGTTCATCCATCAGTGGGCAGATCACGGCTGATTCACGATTCGAACGAACAGTTAAATGGTGACTCGATACATCCGGTACAGTATGTGACACGATAAATAAGCAATGTCTCATTCATGTGTCAGAATCAGAATATTTATTTAGACTGGAGGAATCCGATGAACTATGAAACTTTTTTTTATTTTACAGATGTCCCCTCTCTCCACGTGAGAGACATCGTATAGACTGTTCAGACAAATAAAACAAATACGTAGGTGACCCGTCTCTCCACTTAAAAAAACCTACATATTCCACAACCCCCATCAGCCGCATGGCCCTCTGAGAGTGCGGAATTTCAGCAGCATTGATTCAAGACAAGCAAACTCTGAGCCGGTTTCGACACACAGTGTCTCATCAGCAGTGCCAAGCGCGTCCTTTGAAATCAACAACGTTGGTGAAATGCCGATCTTAGAGGCAAGGAGTGGGACCCGGTATTTATGCCACGCGTTCCGAATATATGAAGCCCTTTCTGCACCCAGCATTACTACCCCAAAAACAAAGATCCCCCGTATAGCCTTGTAACAGACTGTTGGGGCAAGTGCTGTTAGCCATATAAAGACAAAGATCCCCCTATAGCCTGTAACGGACTGTTGGGGTAAGTGCTGTTAGCCATACAAAGACAAAAACATTCACACACTGCACCAGGTACTCATTTGAGGCTGAGTCGATCTAGGGGAGGCCCAAGACCGGTTCAAATAATCGCCACTGGTGTTGGCCGTGAGTGGGAATCGAACTCGATTCGCCGGGTCCACAGCGCGACGCGCTAACCGCTACACTACCGCTCCCCCAGCATTAACCCCCAGAGTACGATGGCAACAGCAGCAGCATCATCATCAGCATCATCATCGATTTAAAGCTTTCGTGACTGCAGGGATTCATCTTCTTGGTTCTTTCGGTAAAGTCACGTAGAAGGGAAGTAATAAAATAATATGTTTTATTTTTATTATTTTATTACTTCCCTTCTACGTGACTTTACCGAAAGAACCAAGAAGAAGCATCATCATCATCATCAGCAGCATCATCATCAGCATCATCATCAGCAGCAGAGGAAGAAGCCTCGAGCAAAGAATCAGCCCGGAGCGGTATCCGTGCCGCTCGCTCTCATCCTTTTGATCTCGTGCTCCGCGCTGAGAATGCGGCTCAGTTGACGATACGACTCAATTGATGATGTGACTCAGTTGAAGATGCGACTCAATTGATGATGCGACTTGGGGGGGGGGTAATGGGGAGGGGGTAATGGGGAGGGGTTAATGGGGGAGGGGGTAATGGGGGAGGGGGTAATGGGGGAGGGGGTAATGGGGGAGGGGTAATGGGGGAGGGGGTAATGGGGGAGGGGGTAATGGGGGAGGGGGTAATGGGGGGAGTCTGAACACCGCCCCCCACCCACTCGTCGCTCACCAGGCTTCTGTCACGATCACGTGGGTGGGAGGGTCGCGTCCATTGTTTATTTGGCCAAGAGAGAGAGAGAGAGCGGAGAGCAGAGCGAGCGGAGAGAGTGGGAGGGCACGCACAGAGACACAGAGAGAGAGAGAGAGGAGGAGCGGAGCGGAAAGGACGACGGAGGCGCGAGAGAAGAGAGAGAGATTAAAAATCAAATAAATAACCAGCGCGACCGTTGCCCGTACCGATCATCCATCCATCCCGTCCGCCTGCCCGCCAGACGCCGCTCTACGGCCATGCTCGGCATCATCAACAAGCTGCTGGACTGGTTCAAGTCGCTCTTCTGGAAGGAAGAGATGGAGCTCACGCTCGTGGGCCTCCAATATTCGGGCAAAACGACGTTCGTGAACGTGATCGCGGTGAGTAGCGTCGCCGTCCGCGCCGCGCTGGGTGATAACCCCCGAGGGCTTTTCGGAATATTTCGGCCGAAGGAGGAGGACGAGATGGGGCTTTTAGGATGGGGTGGGGTGGATGGATGGATGGTTTGAGACGGGGTTTGTGTGTGGTTCACGGCGCGCTGTTGATGGTGCTGGGCTGCTGCTGGTGGTAGTGGTGGTGGTGCGCCTCCCCGTAGGGTCGACTCGTTCTCAAAATCGGGTAGCCGGTGTGTGAACATCCCCACTCGGGGAGACAAAGGCGGCCGGGCGTGGTTGCTGGCCACCCACCCCACCCACAGTGGCGGCCTTCGCAGCTGCTCGCTAACGCCACTTGCCCCTTCACAGCCTGTCGGAGGCGATACGGGTGGTGGATCCTTGTCTTTTGGTGAGGGTACCAGGAGATGGTGGTGGGAGACGTGGGCTGTGGGTGTTGTGAGGTCGGGCGGGCAGGGAGGGAGGGAGCGAGCGAGTGACGACGCCGCCCGCTATTCGCGCTCGCGGCCGGCAGGGCGACGCAGGCGACACGGGGGGGTCGGAGCGGGCGTGGAGGGCGGCGCGATGAGATCGTAACAACAACAACAGCAGCAGCACCAACAAAAGGGCCATCTCTAAATCCCCTTATTACGATGCTAATTCGCATCTCGTCCGCCCTTTAACCACCACGAGAGTAACAGTCGGCGACTCGTCAGAGATATCGTGGCCAAGTCCACCCACGATGGGAGGGGTTGGGGGTTTAACAACCATCGCGATTTTCGGTGCCCGTCGTGCCGTTGCCGAGGCTCCGTTATTAAAGCGACGACGAGGCCTGCGATGATCACGAACCAAACGATGGATGAGAGAGTGTGTTTGCGCGCCAAGTTCCTGCTTTGTTTTTCTGAGCTCTGCGAACGAAATTCCGAATGAACGGGTCGCTGTCCGCGGTGCTGAATCCAAATGTCGATTCAATGCCTCGTGAGCGGCCAGCTATCCGTGCTGTGTCCATCGTACAGAGCTCTACGATTATTTATTCAATTCAAGGCCTGACAAACGTGTCCCCGCTGTCAGCGGGGCTGAATCCCAATGTCGATTCAATGCCTCGTGAGCGGCCAGCTATCCGTGCTGTGTCCATCGTACAGAGCTCTACGATTATTTATTCAATACAGGGCCTGACAAACGTGTCCCCGCTGTCAGCGGGGCTGAATCCCAATGTCGATTCAATGCCCGGTGAGCAGAGGTCGCTGTCCTTGGCTGCGAGTGAATTGTAAATGTAATGCCAGACACACGGGTCGCTGTTCCTCGTGTTTTGTATACGATGTTGATGCAATGCCTGATGAGAACTCATCGCTCTTACTGAAATACATTAATTCAGTATCCGATGGACGGGTCCCTCCCTGTTGCTGGTGTTGAACTCCGCGTTAATTGAATACTCCCATGAACTGGTCGCTGTCTATTGAATCACGTGTTAATTAAATACGAGCTGAACGAGTCACTTCCCACGGTACCAAAATCCATGTTAATTCAATACCTGAATAATTGGTCTCTCTTCGTGGTTATAAATTAAATTCTAGGTTATATACATTTAATCCAATGCGATTTTGCACGTGGTGCTACATTTTGTACTCGTCATTAACCTCACTTCTTACATTTTTGGTCGCAGAGTGCTGCTCAAATCTCCATCCAGCTCAAATATCTGACCCACTTCGGCAATTTGTTTTCAATCACGGATTTGAGCTATGGCTATGCTTGGCCTTGCATTACTGTCACCCATTTTGGCGAGCCTACGCAGGGCCTCGAGCAGTTGTTGAGGCTGAGTGATTGGTGAGTTGAACAAAGAGAATATTTAAGGAGTGAACTTAAGCTAAGGGCTTAAATTTGGCATATTAGCCAGGCGTGGCTTTCATGCTGATCCACGCCTGCATGGCAGCGACGTGGTGTGATGGCTGAAAAGAGAACGGCACTTGAGAACGAGTTGATGTTACGTGTATTTTGTTTTGTTTATATTTCAGTCCGGCCAGTACAGCGAAGACATGATTCCCACGGTTGGCTTCAACATGCGGAAAATTACCAAGGGCAATGTGACCATTAAGGTAATTCATGCTCTCCGAATAGACGTGCGTAAAACACTCATGCAAACGTGAGAGAATTTACGAAGTTATTGACCTTGATGATTTTTGTGTAAACTAGATAAGGGGCCATTGACACCGAGATTCTCTTTCGATGAAGACCTATGATACGAAAGAAATACAGTGAACATTTATTAAACACGCAGTCAACATATCTGACGCCATAAACCCGAGTTCATTATGGCCATTAAATAATTAATCTTTAAACCCAAATATGGATAATAAAAATTAACAATGCATTTGCAACTAAATAAAACTACAGTAATTGCCAATGATCGATATTGTGGGGGGAAATATAAAAATATAACAATTTCCAAGAAGCAACATTTTAACTGTGAAACTGGGTATAGCTTAAAAGTAGCATTCGTAGTATCCTTTATTAACAAGGAGGTTACATTAACCCATTGAAATGCATGAAACATTGCTGCCTTTTTTGCAAGGGTGAGCCGGGTTTACATCAAGTCATTTTTGTCCACTATAAAAAAAAATTCATTAAATTCAACGCATCTAAACTAAACGGCGCAATCATTTGGTAGAAATTCGAATGAGGCAAGGTAATGACATTGAATGGCATTTTAATTATTAAAAAATGATACATGCAATACAATGCAATTCGTCGACAGGAAAATGACGCAATTAGAAGCAACATATTCAAAATGTTATTCCGTGTTCATTCCCTAACGGAAGACTGACTCAGAAGGAGTCATTTTTGAAGACTCACTGTGAAGACATTTTCTTTACACATTAGAACGACGCAGTGCCAGTTTGGGTGCAGAGAACATCACAGGATAAACACATCCCATTGTAGTGTTCACTCTTGACACGTCACGCGGTAGTGTTTTAGGGATATCCTAAAATCCAGGGGATTAACTGTGTAGTTTTAAATCCAGATTGACTGACAATTCCAATACAGCGTCAATCATTGATCTTTACCAGCCAGGTATACTCTATAACACAGTTAGTTTTTTGGGTTACATCGCATAAATATATAAATGTGTCGTTAAACCCGCCACCACCCGACACAGACAATCAGTAAGGTTGCACTCTCTAGGTATACTCTATTCTCCAGATTATACAATGCACTTTTTCTCCCTGTATCTGAAAGCAAAAGTTTGCGGGTGACTCAAATGGTCCACATGGATGGGTTCACAAACCCACATTTTATATTGACGTGTCCCAGTCATCTCGCTAGTCCCAAGGGTGCAGGAGTCTCGTGTTTTAGGTCCAATTCTCTGAACCGATTCTGGTCCTTTTTTTTGCTGCAGAAAATCAGGCTGATCCGATTCCTAACCGAACTGAAATGTGACCACATCCGTATAACTGTATTGACATTTGAAAACTCAGTTCAACACGTAGGCTTTCGCGACCAATATAATCCACAATACAGGTTTTTTTTGGGTTAGATCACGTAAATATATATATGTGTCGTTAAACCCGCCACTACCCGACACAGCCGTCTAGTAAGGTTTGTCACGTAAACAGAACGTGGTCAATTCTATACTAATATAGCACACCGGTGTGTTGGAGGGCCAAGCCGCCAACATTTACAATCCGAGTACGACGTTTCTCCAGTAATTACAACTAGCTTCATCAGGCGACAGCCAGATTTGTGGAGAAGTCCACCTGTTTTATTCCTTACAACTAATTTCTTTACAAATGCTTCTTGTGTTTTAGTTTGTGGTCCTTTCCCCCGCACCTCCAATTAGCACAGTCGGCTACGTGCGGTGCGAAAGAAGTTCAATGTACGTACATTGGCACGAATTTGGAGCATCTTATAATCCCAAGAATACGGTAACATCATGGGATCTCCTTTGCCAGTACCAAAATATACTAATAGGGGTTTACCCCTTTTTTCTGGCAACAAAACTGACACCTTTTGCAAGGAATCATAATTACATTAAACACAATACTTGCAGTCAAATGCAAACAAAAAACAATACTCTGATAATTTATGCATTGTCTTTGAAACTGATTGGTCCACACCAGAGACAGCTTTCTTTAGAGCCTAGTCTCATATGGTGTTCAACCAGCTTTCTTTAGAGCCTAGTCTCATATGGTGTTCGACCAGATGACGCCATATGAGACTAGGCTCTAAAGAAAGCTCTCTCTGGTGTGGACCAATCAGTTTCAAAGACAATGCATAAATTATCAGAGTATTTTTTTTGTTTGCATTTGACTGCAAGTATTGTGTTTAATGTAAGTATGATTCCTTGCAAAAGGTGTCAGTTTTGTTGCTAGAAAAAAGGGGAAAACCCCTATTAGTATAATACGGTAACAATTGCGCGTGCAGCCTGGGTAGGGTAGGCGTGAGTGTTCTTCTCTCACAGACTTCCTGCAAGTAGACTTCACGCCAGCAGGGAGAGCTGCTGTAGAGTGGTTGGGAGTTTTGCCGGCTTCAGCGGGGGCACGCCAGTGGCACCATAGAAAGAACACGGTTTTTGCGACAGCACACTCAACACGATCATGACGGCTGATACGGTGCACATTTTTTAGGAAGATTTCAGATAAAATGAGCAGATAATTTTTGGTTTTAGCACACCTGTTTCACGATGTACATTTACATCCATTTTTGTCAATCCACTGTTGGATTAGGGCCTTCTCGTGCTGTATAGGTAGTTGGGTTTGTTGATCATACTTCACAATGCTGGTTAGTACAGGTGGGTGACGTTGGGGAGCGTAGCTATAGCAGCATAGACGTATGCTGCTATAGTACAACAATACATTTTTTGCTGCACTTTTTTGCTGATGCCCAATGCGTAGGCCCACAGCATGGTGGTCACCCATCCAAACGTTATGCAGGCTCAACCCTGCTTAGCCTCCGATATCTGACGAGATCGCACGCAATCCCGGTGATCGAACCGAATGGCCTCTCTCCGTAGCATTGACGCCACAGACCGCCGCTGCAACCTGACTCTGCACGCAGCTTGGCGCATCAACGTTTGTGCACAATTTTTGTCTGTTCATTTCCAATGTGCACGCATCGCAGCATAAAGGTGGATCGCCGGTAAATCTGCGTCAGGGTTGCGTCTGGTTTTATTTTTTCCGCCCGTTGAGCGCTCGTTGCCCGCGCTCCATGTCTGGTTTCTCGCCCCCCCCCCACCTCCCCTCCCCCGTCCGTGTTCGCCGCCGCCGCCGCCGGCCTCCAGCTGTGGGACATTGGAGGGCAGCCGCGCTTCCGCAGCATGTGGGAGCGCTACTGCCGCGGCGTGAATGCCATCGTGTGAGTACGGCGTGGCGCGGCTTTCGGGGCTGTGCGGTGATGACAATCGTTACTCGCGCGTGCGCGGAGCGGTGATCGCTTGGCAGAAAACTGCTCGACTATGACCAGGGCCTCCCAGCGCCTTCCTTCCAGGGCCTCCTAGGGCCTCCCAGAGTGTTCCCGGAGGCCCCGGGGCAAATTGGGGAGGGGGGTCCCCTTCTTTCCCCATGCACAGGCCCATTGTGGGGCGACCTCTGTTGTGTGAAGCCCACCCCCCTGGGCAAATTGCCCCTCTACCCATCCTACCCCACCCCCCACCCCCCTACCCACCCCCCTACCCACCCACTCTGGGCAGCCCTGATTGTGATTATTGCAAAGATGCTTCCATCATGCCCTGCTCATCACGCGACATCGCCACGCTGCATGCGCACGACCTTGTGGTAGACCACCGGACCCAAAGGTCATGACTGTGGCAGGTCGAGACGCGTGCACACACCGGTTGTTACGATTCATCAGTGGAGGGAATGCCATCGTAGCGTTAGGCGCTGGCTTTGGCCTCGGGGGCTATATTTGGACAATAATACCATGATAACGGTAGGGACAAATTGGCGCTGCCTATAGGTGACAAGATAACAGTTCCAACACTTGCACTGTGGCAGAGGCTGCTGCAACAGAGGCTGTGGGTCCCTGCAGAGCTCGGTTTTGGCCGCGTTGGCTCAACGTGGTGGGTTCTGACCCACACGGTTGTTAGTTGAGGGAGCACGGTTGGGTCTAATTGAGCCCGGTTACGTGGTATGGATTAAGACCACGGTCCAGACCTAAACCGTTCTGATCAGATCCGTGTTGCGGTGGACGCAATCCTGATGGGTGCTTTGATCCAAACCTGATCGATTGGGATTGGATTCTACTTATTGCATGTTAAATGTCTTACGGGAAGATGATTTCATTAATTGCAGTCGTGAGCGTTTTGGCTTGTGGGTAGGAAAGCAGTGCACCCAGGGAGATCCCATTAATATGTTGGTTTGACTTAAATGGTCCACACAGAGAGGTTCACAAACCCACCTTTTATATCGACGAGTGCTGTGCACCTCGCTAGCCCCAAGGGTTTGGGGGTCTCGTGTTTTAGATCCACTTCTCTAAACCGATTCTGGTCTTTTTTTTGCTGCAGAAAAGCAGATCCGATATCCTAACCGAACTGAAGTGTTACCCCCTGGTAATTGGGCGTGCGACAACGCGTCGATTGAAACTACGTTCTTATTCTCGTGACGACTGCGTTGAATCGCACGCGTTTGGAAATGCTCATTTTCCCCGGTGTGCAGATTACATGCTGATGTCACGTTGGGGCGAGTGGAAGGGACGAGAGGGTAGTGTGAACCACCCCTGACAAAATGGGGCAGGCGAGACGGCCGTGGGAGACCAACAAATATAATAATTGATGACTTAATCAAATCGTGATCGTGAATCGGGACACTTTATTGAATTGCGTTGAACGAGTGGGTGACATGTGGCGACACGCCTCGTACACTGACCTTTAGCCTGGGCTCTGCGAGCAGTTGCAGCGGGGATTAGGTGTCAGGAAGTGAGGTTCCGTGGCCTGTTGCTGCCTTCGCAGGCTGCTGGTCTCAGTGGCACAACCGGCTATGTCACTGGAAAACAGTGCAGGCTCGTGGAAACAAAAGGACGTTTTAAAACACCGCACTCACCGATGCCACAATTGGGGTCACAATTTGTATTTTTGTTACTATGTCACTTGTGTTGCTTACAGGTTTTCTCACTCCATGCGAACTTCACGTCAAATTGGAACGCCGCATGCGTGGGTCCACGCTTGCATGCTTTTTGGCGTGAACATCGTTTTTAGAGTTTGGCCTGGTCGATTCATATCGCGGCCGTCAGGTTTAGTCTCAAATAGTGCTGATGTGGAAGAACACCCATCTTAATCGTCACCAGGCATGATCCATCCACTGCTGGATGAAGGCCTTTCCAAGCCGTCGCCATCTCTCGCTGCCTCTTGGTGGCAACATACGATGCAGCTCACGGCCACGATCCGGTGTTGTCGTGCCGTGTCCACCCTAGACGCCCCCCTCTGGCGCGTTCGCTCATTTGGCTGGTCCCGACCACCGGCCACCGTCATCCCTCCTGCCCGAGCCCACTTACAAGCCCAGCCGTTTGGCAAGCCATACTCGCTCTTCTCATAACCGTTCCGTGGTGGAACAGTTAGAAAGCGGTCCGGAGGTTCGACGGGTCAGTTCCATCTCCCGGCGCGGACGTTGAAACAACAACAACAACGACAACAACGGTGCAAGTTTCTCAAAGCTGCGCCTGCCGCTGACCTCTGTCCACCCAGCAGTATCGCTGGGTGGCGACCACGTTCAGCCGACGGATCAGGTCGTGTGCGGCGGGGTAAATCTTGGCTACTCCCGCCTCTTCGAAGAAGTCCGACCACCACTCTCTAGTTGGTTCCAGTTGATGACCCTCCTGCCAGGCAGTGGCGTGAGCAGGCAATCGCAGGGCCGCACCTTTGCCTTTACACTCGCGCGCATCAACAGGGCGCGGAAGTAACAGTCAAGGCACCGGGAGATTGTGCGTCTCACCGATTTGTGAAGTGGCTACGACGCACTCGTTTGGGGGGTTGTCGCTCGCTATCGCTTCGGCGAGGCCCCCGAGGTTGATCGTTGCACCCGAGCGGATCTGTCCACCTGCGCCCACGGTTATTTAATGTGCCGCGAAATCATTGACGCGGGGAGAAGAGAAAAAAAGACGCGCGCAGCCACCCGACCGACCTTTGGATTTCTCTTTTGTTTGCTCGGCAAACGCCGTGGGTATTTCCAGCCTTGGCCTATGGACCGGTAGGTAGATAGATCGTAGCGAAACTCCCTCGCTTCTGTTGCATCGGTGGCAAGTTGATAGGTGAACCGGTGGTTTTGGGCAACTCCCTTCACCGAACCCGGTACGGTGAAGTATGTTCAAACAGCTCCCACGACCAACGAGGGTTTGTGCAGGCCTTAATCCAGCAGTAGATTAAGGAAGGTACGCTATTAGAACATAACTCGTATCGTATCTGAAAGTTGGAAAAGGCAAATGTCACCAGAACTCCTGAGTCTCCACGTAACATATCCTTCAGTCCATCGGCCCGTTGGCTTTCCAGACCAATGTTATTTTATGCAAGCGAACGCTGGACTCTTTTCGACCTTGTGGGTCTCATCAGCGTGGTCAGGTTTGACAAATGAATGCTGCTGTCGTACCAGATGTCATTGGCAATGGCAGATGGTATTGACGCACAAAGCAACACTGTACGAGTACTGGGAAAAAACATGATGATATGATGCCATAGAGCATCATGGGTAGAGTGAGTGGCCCGCAATTGCATGGTTGTGTCAGTTGGGGGCATGATACAACCCATCATCCCTCCTTGGTCCAACCGCACCTGGCCAAACGTGCGGTTGGACTCTATCTGTGTATGCGTATCATGTGGAGACAGAGTCGAGAGTCCAACCCGCATGCAACACTTGCTCCCCCCCCCCCCACTCCTCCCGACCTCGAGATTAATAAAGTCCGGCCGCAGGGATACGGACACAGTGGTGGGGTAGCGTGCAGCCCGAGGTCGCCCCCGTTAATCATTCACGTCGTGGCTTGGCGATTGCGCGTGGCGGGCGGCGATCTGCCCGACCAAACCGTCCGCGCTGCGGCTCTCTCCGTGACGCTTCGCTCCGACGCTGCCCACATCTCACCCGTGTTTCTCTCGCCCACTGATTTGTGATTTACTGAAAGTTTTTACTTTTTTTTCGCTCCCCAGGGCACACGCGGGCAGCGATTTAAACAATGGGATAGTTGTCTTTAAATTGACCCCCCCCCCCCCCAGTGTGTTAACCATTACACCGTGGATTCTGCCACAGTGGTGTAATGGCTGGCACACCACAGTTGCAATCCAGAGGTCACCGGTTCAATCCCATGTCCTGGCTTGGCAGTTGAATAAAAAAAAAAAGGTGGCGCAAATTTCTCAAAATCCGACCCCACCCCCACCGCACCCCCTGCCTGCCGCCTCAATATTTATAGCAAAAGATGTTTGTCGGTTATCTAGATGTGTAGTCATCCACACATATAAACACTCATCCAGTGGCTGATAACATCTTTGCGCGCAGAGGCCGCCTGGCTGTCTTCCTCGCTCGCCCTGTGGCTCCTCGCCTCCCAGAGTCGTTCGCTCTCTCGCTCCGAGAACGTGCGGCAAACCGCGTGGCGCAAGTTTGAAGTTGGTGTAATTATTTGATCGCCATGACCATCGTCAACTATTCCTGAGGGTCCTGCGTTTGAATGTTGGGCCATTTCCACGACGGGGTGTTTGGCCTAGGAGAAGAAGGCAGAGCACCCGCGGGGAACACTTGAAGGTCCGCACAGATGCTTCCATGAATCCACTCGCTGCACTGCCATCCCCGGGTCACCTCGTAGCCCAAGCCCTCATCATCGGCTGCCTCCAGTATTACCCGTGTCACGATTCATCGAGCCATTGATGTCGAAGGTGCTTCGTACGGTCGCGAAACAAGCGTAGAAGCGCGCGTGTAAAGTGTCGCTCGCTTTTAATTCGTCCGTGTCGAATGCAGTTGAGTCATGTGGCCACTGCAGCCACCAGAGCGGCTTCGTCCACCGCAGTGGTGATGAAGTTGATTCGTTAACAAGAGTCGAGACATCTACTCAATCACGAGGGGGTGGGGAGGGCGGGCGAGGAAAAAGGGACGGATTCGGTGTGTACCTTCCAGCCAGGCTCCGCCTGCTTGGCTTTCAGGGTCCGACGGGTGGTACCTGCGTGATGGCGCTTATCGCGTGAATTATTCAAACTTGGTAACTCTGTACAGTGATGCCACAGTCACGGTGCCCGCGCTCGCGTCTGCGTGCGTGGCACTGCACGCTGGACGGACGGGCGTGTGGGGATAATGACCCTGGTGGAGCGATGATGGTGATGGAGTGACGACGATGTTGGTGGTGGTAGTGATTGAGCGATGGTGGTGATGGAGTGATGGTTGTGATGATGGTGGTGGAATGATGGTGGTGACGACGACGACGATGACGTTGGTGGAGGTGATGGAGTGGTGACGATGATGACGACGATGGTGGAGGCGGTGACGGGGACTGTGTCTCTCGTTCCCGTAGGTACATGGTGGACGCTGCTGACCACGACAAGCTGGAAGCGTCGCGGAACGAGCTGCACAACCTCCTGGAGAAGCCCCAGCTCCAGGGAATCCCGGTAAGCGTCTCCGTCACGCTGCGATCACACTCGGTCACACCACGGTGACATCACACCGCTGTCACACGGCCGTCACGTGCCACCAACACCTTTTGGTGACGTCACACGGGTGGTGACGTCACACGGGTGGTGACGTCACACGGGTGGTGACGTCACACGGGTGGTGACGTCACACGGGTGGTGACGTCACACGGGTGGTGACGTCACACCGCTGTCACACGGCCGTCAGACCGCGGTCACGTCAAGCCGTGGCGATGCTACGCCGCTGTGACATCACCGTCGCATCACTATGATGTCAGATGCCGTCACACTGCAGTGACATCACATCCTGTCACACCTCGATGACGTCACATCTCCGTCACATCACGATGATGTCGGACGCAGTCACACGGCCGTCACACCACCGTCACGGTGCAATGATAGATTTTTTCTTTCTGCCCTGCCCTCTCCTGCTGTACTAAATAAATCAAATTTAGTTTGGTGTAACCTTTAAATATTCCATATATATTAAAAAAATCACCATCAGTCATGCTCAATCCACTGCTCAATGAAGACCCTGCCATGCCACCGTCACCTGCCACTATCTTGTGATGTAATCATCCACCGAGCACCTCATCTAATTTATATTTATAGAGCGCCTTCACTCAAGCGCCTGACACCGCTTACAAGAGGGTGACAGAATGGAACGGTGTGGATGGCAGGTTGCATACAGCGACAGAGGGTGAATTAATCGCTCCGTCTCCCTGGTGGATGCGCGTTCGGACGTGTTCCATTCCATGGCTGCCACTCCGTCCTTATTTTGGTTGTCGACCATTAGCCATCGTCCCTCCTTTACAGGGACTGGCCCGTCTTTACGCACAAAGGAAATCCCTGAGATCTTCGGCTCGCCTTCTTCTCAGTACTCTGAGGTCAAGGCTCTGTTTCTGGCGTGATCCGGCTTTTGCAAGTGTGGCTCCCAAGCTTAGGGAATGCTTTGCCTTGCCCAAGAAGGCAATCACAGTCAATAGATATATTTAAGTTGGTCTTGAAAACTCACCTTTAAATTGATCTTTATCCCCCGTATTGTTCTGGCCGTTTATCCTGCAGGTTCTGTTTATTTCTTGGCTTTCAATATACGGTGGTGGTGCATTGCTGGGATCTAGGGGTGAAATGAGCCATTTTACAAATGTAAATTATTATTATTAGCGATGCGCCCTGGTCAAACCCACATTCTTGTCTCAACAGTTTGAATTATGTCATAAACCCGCGAATGCATCTCTCTCAACGTAACAGTCGTAATGATATTCTTGGTTCTTTCGGTAAAGTCACGTAGAAGGGAAATAATAGAATAAAAAAAATAAAACATAATAAAATACAATTCTCATGACGTTTCGGCCACAACACAAGCAGCAGTCCTCAGGTGAAGAACAAAGCTGCCGGAAAGACAGCGTCCCAATGAACACCGCTAAGCTTGGCAGCGTATTTTTAAGCTGGGTGGGAGGAGCAGAGTGCCTTGACAAAGGAGTTTACTCATTATTTTATTTTATTATGTTTTATTTTTATTATTTTATTATTTCCCTTCACGAAAGCTTTAAATCGAAGTCGTAATGATGACCACGTAATGATTAATACTTAGCAACGAACGAAATATATGCGTAGATTTCAATTTTCACATCCTCTACGTACGTGCGAAGAGCAATGTTGCGTACGTTTGGATTGCAGAGGCTAGGGGAGGAGGAGTGCGAGGGACGGTGAGCACAATTTCGATTTAAAGCTTTCGTGACTGCAGGGATTCATCTTCTTGGTTCTTTCGGTAAAGTCACGTAGAAGGGAAGTAATAAAATAATAAAAATAAAACATAATAAAACAATTCTCACGACGTTTCGGCCACAACGCAAGCAGCCGTCCTCAGGTGAAAACCAGGTCCGTCGAGGCGACAGAGTCTGAATGAAACATCACACGAGCTTGGAGCATATATATAAGCTGGGCGCATTGACAAAGGAATTTGCATATCAAATATCAAAAGGAATTTATTTCCCATAAATATGCTAAATTCCTTTTGATATGCAAATTCCTTTGTCAATGCGCCCAGCTTATATATATGCTCCAAGCTCGTGTGATGTTTCATTCAGACTCTGTCGCCTCGACGGACCTGGTTTTCACCTGAGGACGGCTGCTTGCGTTGTGGCCGAAACGTCGTGAGAATTGTTTTATTATGTTTTATTTTTATTATTTTATTACTTCCCTTCTACGTGACTTTACCGAAAGAACCAAGAAGGTGAGCACAATGTTCAGATGGCGGAGGGAGAAATTGCAGCTCGCTCGCTCGCTCGCTCATTCGCTCGCGCATCCTTGCTCTTGGCTTCCCAGAACCCTGGGCAAGCGTCTAAAAATACCAGCTCTTACAAAATGGCTTTTCCCTTGATGTGCGCTGTTAGTCCTTGGAATATAAAAAAACAACCCTCCATGCCGCAACCGCACACTTTCCCCGAGCTACTTGCTAGGAGCGCGGTGGCTCGCACAAGCCTCCAATCTCGTGGTTCTGGCCCAAAGATCTTACCGTTGGAGAAATGAATTAATTGATTTGGTAGTTTCCGTTGATGTTAGACGTAGGGACTACTCCCCCCGCCCCCTTACCGTATCCACTCGGCCTGCACTCGCCGGCGTGGTGACCTGTCGGCAAACATTTTCCGTGAGCGACACGCACGGGGCAGGCGTTCATCCAGCAGTGGGATTGTTAAAGGGCTGGCTGTAAATGATGTAAAAATTATATATTATTTCTCAATGGGAGTAGTAAAAAAAAAACCCATTCATATTTTTTTCCAGGTTTTAGGCAGGTAAGGAGGCATCGGATTAAAATAAATTCTAATTGCTAAATTATACTTGCATCCAATCGTGGTCCGAACGATGGATGCTTTACGATTCACGATGCAAAGTTCCCACAGTTTCACCCCCCCCTCCTCCACCTTTAGGCTAACGGTGAGAATGATGAGAGAGATTAAGACAGACGGCACAGATGCGACAGCACAGCCGGTACAAAAAGTGACAAAACGCCACAAAGGGCAGATGAGACACGAGAGCAATGCATGTATCATTGTGCAGCAGTGGGGCGCCGCGGTGGCTATGAGATGTTAACTACCTCGCCTGGTACGCAGGAAGTCGTGGGTTTGATCTCGACCTTGAGTCTGCGTGTCTCTCCCCGTGGTCGTGTGGACTTTTTCCGGGTCCTCCGCTTTATCCGAGGGAATATGGCCGCTATACATTTCCACGCGATAAGCCACTTCGTTGAGCTATCATTTGTGGCCAGGTCGCTTCTTAAAAGGAGCTACGTAGCTCAGTGGGGCCTTGCCTGGTAAAAAATAATAATAGTTTTTTTGTTTTAATTCATCAAATGAGACCACAAAGCCGGTGGTCACAACGTTTGTATCATCCTAATAATAATAATAATACACATGGAGTGCCATTGTGAGGGTCACTGTTTACAAACGAGGCCCACGAACAGGCAGCAAAAAACAAATGCAAACGGCTCGAGCAATGCACCGCTTTTCCAGCGCATGTGTTTTGCCCTCGGGAGGTATTCAATCGGCGCACAATTAAATAGTTTCCGAAGGAAGCGCGACAGGGTCAGGAAGCAGCGTGTCCGCAGGTCGCGATGGGACAGCGGGGCTTGGCCAGTGGCTCTGCGTGGCGGGGCCGGAATGCCGAGAAGGGACCTCTCAAGCCCCCGGTGTTTTGCCTCCAAATTTTGGGCAATGTATTCTGTACGTGTGCATGTTGGACTTCTTTCGTGTCCGCACGTAGCCAGCCGTGCTAATCGGAGGTGCGTTGATAGATGAGTCTCGTTTTCTCTAGGGTGGGTGCCTAATCCTTACCCTTCCCTCATTAAGAGACGGAGCTAGTGCATAAAAACCCTGTCCACCATAGTTGTAAAGCATTGAAAAAATTCCATTCTTAAAAAATATTTAAGAATAGGATTTTTTCGAATCCTATTTAAGTTGAAATTCTTTCGCAACTTACGTAGCCAACCGTACTAACCGTTAGGTGTCGGCTATCCTACAAATCTCGTCGATACCGACATCAACACCGCACACTCGGCGTCGTCGGCTCCCGTAGCTTCCAGCGCCGGTGAGCGTCACCCCGGGCCGACGTTCGACGCGATGGGGGAGAGAGACAAACTCCAAATATACAGCAGCAGCAGGCGTCAGGGTTGGGATTGAACCCACGACCTCCTGTACACCAGGTGAGGTCGTTAACATCTCGCCACCTCGCTACACCGCGCTCGAATGCCACGTTGGGAGATGCTCGCCGCACCTTCCACAAACGCCAGATGAAAGAATTGCCGAACTGCCACGGTGGTGAAGTCAAAACCATGAAACGCATCGGCGACGAAGACACCGTCTGTGCAAAGCATCCCGGGCGCGGCGCCTGCTGCTGCCTCCTCCCCGGATCGGTTGAACAAAAACTAGGCGGCTTTCTCCCTCCTGCCGTACGAAAGAAGAAGAAGGAGATCGTGACAAAATCATCGACTTCATCGTAGGGACGCGAGAGGACGGGGGGTGGGGGGGGTTGGTGAATCGATTGGAGGGAGCCTGCGAGGTATGGATTTTTGACAGCTCTCCTCGTTCTTAAAATGCACTCTGAAGGCTCGGACGAATCTTTGCCGTTGCGCATTTGCATTCCTTGACGTGCGCGCGAGCTCGGCGCTAAATCCGATGCCGCTAAGTAGCTGCCTGGCTGCGCGCCACTAACGGGTGCATTATTTATTTCCCCGAAGGTGGGGTTGGGCCGGCGGGCAACATCTGTGTGTTGTCGGTACAGTAATGCGCGATGGGGGCCCAAGGCCCTTGCACAACTCCTCGAGGAAAAAAGTAAAACTTATTACGTATTCGTGAAGATTCGTACGTAACAATAATAATAATGGCGCCATCTGTTCAGCCCAGCCCACGCGGTTATTGCTAGACTCTCTCTTTTTTTAGGAGAGTCCGGCTCGATTGTGATTATCGGGACCGGTGCCACGAAGAACCCCGGAGAAAGCCCACGACGCATACGAGGAGGTTGCCACTCAGCACCGCCATCTCCTGGCCCACACCTCGCTGCCCCCACGCCTACAACACCTGACGAGCCCATCCAAGTAGCAACCAGGCTCAATCCCAGCTTAGCTCTTCCGAGATCCTATGCGATCGGGCGGATGGAGGGTGATTTTGGCCCGTTCCTGCCCTCGCATCCACCAACGTAGGACGGGGAGGAGGAAGGATCGGTGATGGGTGCGGGGGCGGTTGTCTTGAAGAGAAACCCGCAGCTAACATTTCACTGCTGCGTGTGTTCCTGATGGCTTATCGCAGCAGTGTTCATTCACGCCCCGTGTGGGGGCTCTGCTGTTAAACAGGGAACCCCCCCTCCCCCCGTCTCCCCCAGCGGGTGTCTCACGCGCACCCGGCGAGCCCCTTGTGTGGTTTGTCCATCACCTGGAGAAATTAATCGGGCCGGGTCACATCGATTCCTCGGCTCGCGACATGCACGTCGAATTGCAAGTGTGAGAATCGATGTTTTTGTTGTTGTATAAACGTGCATCCATGTTGTTTGAAATAATAACACTTTCATTGTATGTAATGTCATTCGTGAGAGTAGAATTCCATAATGGCTGTACATGAATTATATACGAGGATCAAATCTCGTATAAAGCCTCTTCCAAGTAATTGAAAACCCTACGACCAAGCAAAATCTAAAATGAATAAACCGACAGTGAAATGGCACCAAAACAAAAAGCACGAACAAACGAAGCGATCGCACCCTCCGGTTAGCACGGTTGGCTACGTACGGTGCGAACGACGTTCACCATACTTGCCTTTGAGCCTTCGTCAACGGTGAATTCCATAACGCCTCCCCGACCACAATCCCACCAACTTCCCAACCGAGCCAGGCAACCGTCACGTGAAGGGGCCGTGGTGGAGGGCCAACAAGCGACGACTAATTTGTATCCATCTGTCCAGTCGATATATATATATATATAAATTGGGTTCTTGGCATCCTTGCGGCCACGAGAGGCGCCATGTCCCCATCCGCTTTCAATGTTTGGCAGAAGAAATTGATTCTTCAACCGGGACATTTATTCCAGTTGCTAGGGTGGGGAAGGGGTCGTTAAGAATTCTTAATCCGTTTTAGTTTAAGCCGGAGAGCCTCCCTGTCATCTCCCGATCACTTGTTTTTGTTACCGCTGCCAGCACTACTCACTCTTGCTGTTCCCCTGAACTCGTCGATAATGAGTCCTCGACGCGCGTTGATGTTGCGTTCAAGCAAACGGAGCGGTTCATCTCGATCTCCCTGCGTTTCAACCAGCACCACACTACAGGTCACAACACCAACACCACACTCGCCCTAAGCGTTTAGCAGTGCGGCTATTTTGTTTTGTTTTGAGCGCCATCATCTGTTTTGGCTGCAATCGTATCGCTGCTTTGCCCCCCCCCCCCCCCGCGCACCTCCCGGCACCGCATCCACTTACTTCTAGCCCCGCCCACTTCCCCCCCCCCCCTGCCCAGTCTCACGTCCCAGTCCCGAGTGCACACGCGCAACGCTCCCCCTCCCCTTATCCCCCCCCACCGCCCTCTCTGACTTATATAAACTCCTTAACTCCGGCAACTTTGCCACTTGAGTAAACACAATTCTTGCTGTGGTTGTCACACTTGATGCAATCGAAACGTCGTGATTTAATTGATTTATTTATATTTTTTCACCTACGTGACTTTACCGAAAGAACCAAAGAGTATAATTCCCATCCAACGCGCGCATTTGGTTCGTGTGGGAGGAAAACCGTCATGCCTGTACGTAGCCCGCCGTGCGGGGCTCGGTGGTAACGCTCCAAGCGCCGCACAAAGACGATTGACGAATCTACTGGTGCCGTGTCTCCCAGCCATCACGCGGCCGAGTGTTCCCAGGCAATCTTCTTCCCGACCGAGCGTTGACCGCCGAGCGGGTGATGATGCGCTTGTGCCGTGCCGTGCCCTGCCCTGCAGGTATTGGTGCTGGGTAACAAGAGAGACCTCGCCAATGCCCTGGACGAGAAGGAGCTCATTGAGAAAATGTGAGTGGGCAGCATGACCTCTGACCCCCCCCCACCCCCCCGCGCACACACACACACACCACTTGGCACCGCTTGGTGAGCGAATCGCTGCGCTCGTACGGTGGGAGTGGGGGGGGGGGGCGCGGCGAGTGGGTGTAACTGGTAAACGTGCAATGTCGGGCCAACGTTCGACCGATGGTTCCAACCGCGTGCCGCCGGTTTTGGACAACAACAAAATCGAGAATTTCCCTGCCACGACGCTCACCCCCCCCCCCCCCCCCCTGCCCCGTCTCTCACCGTCCCCTTCCGTGTCCGCCTCAGGAATCTGTCGGCCATTCAGGACCGGGAAATCTGCTGCTACTCCATCTCCTGCAAAGAGAAGGACAACATCGGTGAGTCGTGTCGCCGGGAAGGTTTGACGTGGGCCGACGGACGAGGTCCCTCCTCGGCCGATTTGCGTCGCTGCCCAGGGACCGAGGTCCCTTGTCACGAGAGCAATGAAGCGTTCGTCTTTGCAAGGCCCACGGGCCCCTGGCAGCCCCTGGTGGCCTTTAGTGCGCCCCGCCCCCCCCCCACCCCCGACAATACACAAAGAGTGAAAACGCTACCCCGTCATCGTGCTGTTAAACCCACAATTGTTTCAAATTTGTGGTGGCCCTCGCACTGGTGATGTCTTATCGGCGAAAGTGCCCCACCCCCCCCCCCCCCCCCCTGAAAACTGCGTGAAGAAAACGGCTCTAAAAGGACGCGGTGGCCGGGTGGTTCAGAAGTCGCAAGGCCACCGCCTGGCATCGAACTCGGCGGTGCCGGCTCAGCGATTTGACCTCTGGCATCTGAGTGACTCGGCCACCCCTTGTGGGAGGGGGTGGGGGGGAGCGAGGGGGAGCGGGGGGGGAGCGGGGGAGGGGGCGGCGTTTGGCTGCTCTTCAGGATTTGGGACGGTTCCGTTCGTCAGAGCTGAGCCGATGAGTCGCTGTGATTTCGGCTGCCGTGCGGCGGTAACGTGAGCACCCCCCCCCCCCCCCCCGAGATGTCCGCTGCCATGCGGCTGTCTGCGCTGCCGCCGGCTCCCGTTGCCACATTGGTTATCGCGCTAATTGGAGTGGGGCGCGTGAAATATACATGTGACCTACAACTGAGTCAACTTTTTTCCGGTGAGGAGGGGGCGGGCGAACGAGTGGACTGGATGGCTCGGGTTGGTAAATATTTACACGGCTGCTTTGGAGACTGGATTGTGATCCCACCGAGAGTTATTTTTCGTCGGATTTCGAGGTTTGAAAAGATGACGATGACTGCCGTCGCCAGTCGAGTTGCAGAGATGATGTGAGGATACTCCGATGGAGGGTCCATTATAATCCTACCGCCCGTTTGCCAAAATAATATTTCACGAAATAACAAAAGGCCGATGATTAAAGTGGTAAATAAATTGCTGTTACCTTCTAAATGAGTGTTCTGCTAAATATTTTACTGGGAGGAGGATGGGGGGCAAGGGTACGGGTGGGGGGAGTGTTGAGGGGGGGGGGGCGTCCCATTTAATTTCATTTAATTCCTTACACCAGGGCCCGTGCCAACCCCGCTGTGCCCCTGCATGGAAAACTCGAGTCTTTTGTGCGTCTTCTGGGAAGAGCGCCCACTCCTCCGCCAGCGCTCGTCCGCCACCCACGCTTCCCCCAGTTTGGACCGAGAGTCGTGTTTGTGACGAGAACGATCGCGTCGCGCTGGGCCCGTCGAGGCGGCGTGACTCCCGGGGCCCAGTGAGTGTGGGAGCGGTGGTGCTACGGTTAGCGCGCTGCGCTACGAACCCGGCGACCCGAGTTCGATTCCTGCTCACGGTCAACACCAGTGACGATTATCTGAGCCAGACCGCTAGGTCGATTAAGCCTCAAACGAGTACCTGGTGCGGTGTGTAAACATCACCACGGGCGTGGTTGCTGGCCACCCCACTCCCCTCGTGTGCCGTGTCGGCCTTCATAGGTGCTGCTCGCTCACAGCACTTGCCCCAACATTCTGTTAAAGGCTATACGGGTGATTTTTGTCTTTGTGGTTCACATAGCCAGTATTTCATTCCAGCAGGAACGGTCTCAGGTTCAGGTATTTAAGACTGATCTCAGGTTTAGGAATGGACCCCGTGTTCGTGCTGTATTCTTCTTCCTCATCTCTGCGCTTAGAGCTCAGATGCCCCAGTGTCGAGATTGGGCGCAATGCCTTTTTTGTTGTTGATGGGCGCTCAAGCACACGCCCTGCAACGATCCCCACCCACGGCGCTCTTCGATCCGGCAGTCAGCGGCGGCCTCTCGTTTTTTTTCCTACTACCTTCCTTCTCTCTCAGTACGTAGTTAAAATGTAATCAAGGCAGCAACTCTGTGTAGCTGCCCCCCTCCTGCCATATGGATTTTCACTTTCCCTGCGTGTGCTCTTCCGCGCGTCGCGCCGGGTCCGCCGTCCGCCTGCCCGCGCGCTCAGTTGTTGCAAACATGTGAAGGATCAGCCCCGCAATCGCTCGCTCACGCCGCTGCTGTTGGTGGAAGGGCCTCCACTCAAGGGAGCTCGAGAGAATCCCGACAGATGTAAAGCAGCGGTTCTCAACCCACGGGTCCCGCCGCCCAAAAGCCTCTCAGGAGAAATTCCGATCTTGAATTGCGACCAATGCATTGAGTGGCCCGGGGCAATTGTTGCAAGCCCACTAACTGGGTTCTCAAACCTGCTTAGCTTCTGAGATCCGGTGAGATTGTGAAAATACTGGACATCTGTGAAAATGAGCTTCATAGCCCATCGGATTCCTCCAGACATTCTGATACAGAAATAATCGTGATTTTGGTTGGGGGCAGGGCTGGGGTTGTGGATGGGTGGGGTAGGTGGAGGGTGGGGAGGGAGAAGGGGGGTTGTTTAGGCGGGTGGTGGTGGTGGCGGCGAGATCGTTACGCGAGGGGTTACAGCGGGGCGCTGTTGGCGGTGCACGTAACGCGAGCGTGAACGATGGCCGCCCTGAGACTTCTCCGACGTCTCTGTAACGTAGCGGGCGCCCTTTGTCTTGCCGGAGGAGCTGCGTTGGAAGGGCGCGGGGGGAACGCTTAAGAGGTCGGACGTTGAATGGACACATCGGATGGATGGCCGTGATAAGAATTTAAATCGGACGCTAGAGAGCCCGAGAGCATTTCGCTGCACCGGCGGGCACGTGCGGCCATTTTCGTTGTCATCGTTGTCGACCCGCTGCTGGATGAGAGACTCCACCATGCCGTGGGGGCGCGGTGGCTTTGACCGTACTTCACCACGTTGGTCGGTGCGGGCTGGTGAAAGGCGGGGAGCACAGGAGTACAGCAAGCACAACGATCGTTTTTGAGCCTAGTCTAAAAACAGTGTTAGACCAGAGGACGCCAAAAGGGGAAAACCTATTCTCATATGAAGTGCTAGTTTAGAAATGAACTTACCTTAAATTATGACGATACTATGCATCATCACTTTATCTCATCAGTTAATTTCTCTCTCTCGATGAAGTCGTGTAGAGTCCCAGATGCGATGCGCGGGTATCGCCGCCATTCGCGGGTGGCAAATACCGATGGCAACATTGTAGCACTCATCTACGCGATGTCAATTACGTTACGTGTCGTACAGAGCCCAGAACGGACGAGGCGGCCAAACACGCCGCACCGTGGCCAAGTGCCACGGTAACGCACCGCCGGTGAGCACGGTCACCTACGAACGGTGCGAAACAAGGTCAACATTCATTCGGTCCAAAATTACGATGGCTTATAATTATTTTCCCAGGGAAAGGCACGCTGAGTCGACAGACTAATTCTTAAGGAGAGTCCTGCTACGTGGGAATGTTCGGCCAACACCAGTAACGTTGTACGTTGTTCGCTTTTGGAAGGAAACCAGAGGATGCTGTGGAAACCCATGCAGAGCAGCGGGGGGGGGGGGGGGGGGGGGGGGGTGGACACACAAACTCCACACGGGGAAACACACGAACCAGGTGTCGAACCCAGGCCCTTCTCGCTGCGACGCACAAAGCGCTACCTAAATGCTCAGTCGGAGGCAATTGCGTAACAGCTCGTTGCAAAATTTATAGCGCTTGCGAATTTCACGCCCCCCCCCCTCACCCCCAGCACCGCGGGACATTTTGCCCATTTTGCCGTCAAAAGCGATCCTCCCCTCGGCAGACTGCGGCGGCGAGATCGACCGCTGTGCCGGACGAGCCAGGGGCTCCGGGGCGGTGGGGGGGGGCGGCAGAAAGCGATTGCTCCCGTCACGTCGTGAAAGGGCCCCGTTGTGTGCGCGGCACGCGGCGGGATGGGGGGCGATTGCGTGCCTGCCGTCGATGTTGTGATCACCCGTCGCAGGGACGCTTTGATGAGCCAGGCTGACTTGACGAGAGATTAGGCCGGCCTGGATGTTGCCCACAGTGCTGCTGATGGTGATGATGGTGATGATGGCGATGATGATGATGGTGATGATGGTGGGGAGTGGAAGTGTAGCAGTCAGCGCAACGCGCTACAAACCTGACTACTCGACTTCGATTCCCGCTCGCGGCCAATACCACTGACGATTATCTGAACCATTCTTGGGCCCTGCCCTAGGTCGACTTTGCCTCAAATGAGTACCTGGTGCGGTGTGTAAACATCGCCACTGGGGAGACAAAGGCGGCCGGGTGTGGTGGTGGCCACTCACCCCTTTGTATGCCGTGTCAGCCTTCATAGGTGCTCGCTAACAGCACTTTCCGCAACAGTCTGTTACAGGCTACACGGGGGATCTTCGTCTTTGGCGACGGCGCGTTGTAGCGTGCGCGTGAGCTCTTGTTATCAGCTCGTTCTCAAATCGGCACGGGGCCACCCCACCCCGTACCTGCATCGAGCGTTCTTCGAGGCAATGATTGGCCAATTCCACTGACGTTACAACGCAACGCGTCCACAGCGTCTAAATACGACCGCATCTCGACACGACGCTGTAGAGAAACAAACGGGAACATTCATGGAGATGCAGGAGGAAGGTAGGCAGTCGGTCATGGGGTCGGGGAGAAATGGGAAGTAGTTTAACGCGTAGGCTTTCGCGACCAATATTATTGGTAGTAAAGGTTTTTGGGTTAGATCGCTGTAAGTGTAAATGTATAAATGTTATGGATTTACTCTCCAACACACAGATTGGCTGAAGTCGTAACTAATTGGCACGTTTACGTGACAAACCTTACTGGCTGTGTCGGGTGGTGGAGGGTTACAACATATTTATACTTACGCAATCTAACCCAAAAACTTTTATTACGAAAAAGGAAGTAGTTTACATTTTAAAAACGAATTTGTATTTTACCAAGCAAGGCCCACTGCACTACCTAGCTCTTTTTCAGAAGCGACCTGGCCACACATGATAGTTCAACGAAGTAGCTTATTGGAAATTAATAGCAGCCAAATACTCTAAACGCGTGTTTATAAATGTGGAGTGAAAAACTAGAGGACCTGGAGAAAATTCCACGCTACCACAGGGAGAGAGAGACATACAATTTCCAAATCAACAGACGTTGAGGTCGGGGTCGAACCCACGACCTCTTGCATAACAGGCGAGGCAGTTAACATCTCGCCACCATGACGCTCTCTCGCCACCAAATATGCAGTTGATCCTGGACTTGAACAGGCACAGGGAATCGATAGCACGGATGGCTGTGTGAAAGAGGCTAGAGACTTTGGTGGTGGGTGCAGCAGACACATCGGACAGCATCGGTACTTGGGGTGGCTCGGTGGTGCGGGCGATGCACGGGGGGAGGGGGTGGGGGCGATACACAATGTCCGCACCTCCGAATAACACGGTAGGCTACGTACGGTGCGAGAGGATGTACGTACGTGTGTCACAGACACGGTCTGGAGTATCGGCCCGTCCTTCCACACTCTTGCTAAGTTTTTATCTTCACACTGCCTGGCATTCCGAGTCGTGCCCGTCGTTACTCACGGAGCCCACTCTTGGGATTTTACAGGTTTGGCGGAAACTTTTCCTTCGCGTGAACACGCGAGCGGTGGCATAGGAAGAGGGTGCGGGGGGAGGTGGTGCTGTTGCTACGTTTTAAGCTGCTGCTGCTGCTTAAAACGTAGCATTCCTCGTCAAATTGTTTCGCTTTTATTACATTTTCGGTATTCAACGTTGCATGTTTACGAAGTCTCTTTTTACCCCCCACCCCTCTTCGCCCTCTCCCCACCTCCCTGGGGTCACCCATGACAAAAAGTAAGTTTTAGCTCAACGGGCCCAAGCGTGGGCGAGCGAAAAATAATTAAACTTTCAACTAAAATGGGACACGCAAACGCGCGGAGCAGCATTAAACATTCACGAGGCAATGCCACAGCTGCAGGCCCCCATGCAGAATTGTCCCCAACTGCTGTTGATTCACTCAATTTTAATAAGCTCCTGTTCATGCGTGTGCGGGGATTGTTCTCTACCCGGTGCCATGGTTTTTTTCCACTCGATTCTTCTCACCTCCTTTGGAGGGGTGGGGGGGGGGGGGATTGGCGGGGGCGGGGTGCCCGATGACTTTCATACGAGAGTTGAAGCGACGCGATTGAAGTGTGCGCGAAAAGTTGCGCCGCTGTTGGGGAAGTGCGCGATAGAAAACCGGCCACATCGACCATAGCGTTGGTCAAAACATGGCAAGAAGAAGAAGATGATGTGGACCGAGGTACAATGATTGCCTGGCGGCCTTTTGATTGGTGGAGACACACTGCCGGTTTAGTTGTGTTCTCCTACGTTAACATCAACTGCCCCGCCCATGCTGCTGACACACTAGGGCTACGCCCATCTCTAAACCTTTAAAAACAGTTTGCCTTTAGAGGCTAACCCCCCGTTTCCTGATGACGACTGCTTGTGTTGTGATCGAAACGTCGTGGTTTTTTTATTTTATTTTTATTATTTGCATTTACTTAATTTTCTATCAACGTGACTTTAACGCTAATATTTGCTCGCCACCGAGGCGCGCGCTCCCCTCCCCTCGTCGTCGTGACGTCATTGCTCGTGACGTCACAAGCTACGTGCCGTGCGACGTAATGTTACCATCGCTAATTCGACACTGCCGAGGACAAACACCGAGTAGCACGCGTGGGCATGATCTTTCTCCCTCGTCTCTCCCCCCCCTCTCTCCCGTTGGCATCGTCCACGTCGTCAGATATCACCCTGCAGTGGCTGATCCAGCACTCTCGGAGCCGAAGGAGCTAAGCCGGCTCGGACTGGCTCTGATTCAGCACCCCGCAACCACGTCGACCACCGCCTCCACCGCCTCCACCGCCACGCCAACCGCCGCCACCACCGCCACGTACAACACCTCGCTCGCCGTGACGCACGCACGCACGCACGCGCACGCATGCACACGCGTGTGTGCTCTCTTACAAACACTCAAATGGACTCGCATGTACGCACTCGCATAAATACACACGCTCGCACGTACACATGAACACACGCAGTCGCACACAAACACATGCGCTCGTACGCACAAAGGCACGCAGCACGCGTACGATCATTGCACTCGCACGAATTTACGCGCACACACACTCGCACATTAACGCACGCGCTCCCTCGCACATAGGCGCGCACATGCACACTCGCATGCACCCACACACACCACACCCTTACGCCCAGCTGTCGAATTGGAGACATAAACTTTTGGGGCCCCTATCGCTTGTCAAATCACTGACTTTTAAACTCGTCGCATGTGTGGGGTAACAGGTCAATGCCCACACTTTACCCCACCATGCACACCTCGTGCAAAAAGGGGCACAGCCGATTATGAATGCGCATACCTCCACAGTCTCGGAGAATCAACTGGTCGGCATGTGGATACCGAATAGGGGGCTCTTAATTCGTCCACAGAATATTCTAGCACGACCGCCCACATTTATATGGCGATGCACATTGTGTTGAAATTCTTTTTTTGTCCTCTATCATCTTCCCATGATCGCGGCCAGCCGGCTCTTGCAACTGCTTTGCAGTCAGGGTTCGGTTGGGACGCCGAGCAACCAGGGCACCTGCCCAGTAACCTACTCCTTGAGTTGGGCCAACTTGAATCTATTCGTGGAGTTGGGCCAACTTGAATCTATTCGTGGAGTTGGGCCAACTTGAATCTATTCGTGGAGTTGGGCCAACTTGAACATACTCCTTGATTTGGGCCAACTTGAAGCTACTCCTTGAGCTGGGCCAACCTGAACCTACTCCTTGAGTTAGGCCATCTTGGACCTACTCCATGATTTGGGCCATCTTGAGCCTATTCCTTGATTTGGGCCAACTTGGACCTACTCCATGATTTGGGTTAACTTGAATCTATTCGTGGAGTTGGGCCAACTTGGACCTATTTGTGGAGTTGGGCCGTGATTCAGATGGTAGCGGTGGCGTAGCTGCAGAGAAACTTCAATGGGGCCCACTGACCAGGAGTGGCCAGGTGCACCGGTCCAAAGAGTGGGGGACATCGGACAGGAGGTAGGGCCCCACTTTACTCCTTGCAGCAGGACCCATGCTGTGTGACCACACGATGCTGCTACCTACATTGTCGTCTTCTTTCATACGGCTGATGTAGATGCAGAGCAAAACAGCTCCAATTTCACATTGAGGTGGCCAAGCCAGACAACCGCGTCAGTAGCAGCGGAGTGGATCGCTGTTGATGTCTCCGTCGTATTTGTGGATCGGGCATTGCGTCGTTATACGTTGTGCAGACTGTTCTGGATGACCACAGTCGCACAATGGAGATTTTTTTAAAGTTTCCATTTGTGCGCATCAACTGCTGCCATGGTTTTCAGCGGATGTGGTTCAGGCTGGACCATAAAAGCACATGGTCCATCCTAAACTATGCTCCTAACTTACGCAGACATCCGCATGCAGACTCGTCCACTCGAACGTAGACTCTTAGACTTACACGGAGACCCATAGTCTCGCGTGGATGTACATAGAGACACACGGACCGCCGCCGTACACTTACCTTGGAGACGCTACATCAGTCGAGTAGCTGTCGAGTGTGCAGGCCATGCAAATGTAACCGGGGATCTGTCGGGGATAGGAGGGGGTAGTGGGCTATTTAATTCCATGCCAACCGCACGACACCACTGGATGGGAATGAATTGCGTTGGGACCCAGTGGCGTGCGTGTGGTGGCCCAAGTCTGTGGCCGGCATGAGCAGCGGCAGAATATTTACCCTGTAGTCGCCAGATTTGTCAACACCTTTACAAAAAAAAGACAATGACGCTCTCCAAATGACAACGACAACAACAAATCAAGTCGAACAGCAACAACAATAAAATCGAAGCGTTAAAAGTGTTCTCGTTGCATTTTACAAGGTGGGTAGGGAAATGGGTTAACGGTGATGGGACGTGAATTATAACTCGGCGGGAGGGTATTTTTTGCAGTGACGGTGGTTAAGTTTTAATCGAACTTTTTAATGGTTTTTAGCCGTTTTGTTATCGTTGGTGTGGCCATCGTTTCGCTAAGTGCTGTCGTCATCTCGGATTGTGACATTTCTTGTTTTTTAAAGAAAAAAATAACGGATCACTTCTTTTATTTGTTTGTCTTTAGGGCCGTTTTACGCGAAGGTAATTTTTTTCCGTCGCACACTCCTCTGTGCTGTAGTCGAACGGTGGTGTAAAGGTGCCGCCCTGCAATTGCTTTGCTCAACGCCGTGACCGGTGGAAGGGCCTCTGCAATCGAGGGGGGGAGCTCTAGAGAGCCCCCCCACCCCCCCCCTCTAGAGAGTATGTTAGCTGACCCTTCAAGACGTCTTTGGAAGAGGTGGGAATTACTCACACTTTAACCCCCCACCGTACGCGACCTGCCAGTCCACTGTGGTGGTACCCATTTCTACTGCTGGGTGGACATATGTGGGGCGGCCTGGGGGGGGGGGGGTGGTTTATTAACTTGCCCGTATCAACAGCCGCGCCCCGGCAGGCAGAGGTCGCAATCGGGTACCCGTACCCTACCTGATATCCGGCTACCCGTACCCGGTCGGGTAGGGTACGGGAACGGGTACCCGTTTGCGACCTCTGCCGGCAGGTCAATTCGCCAACCTCTGGATTGCAGGTCCAGTGTATTAATAATAATAAACATTTATTTGTAAGGCGCCTTCCACTAATGTCTCAAGGCTTATTGTAAGAATAAGGTTAAGGAAAGGCCAAGAGAGAAGGAGAGTTACATAGAATTAACAGTACTTAAGAAAAATGTGTTTTTAGACGCGACTTTAGAGTATCCACATTGTCGGTTGAACGAATTTCCAACGGTAGGGAATTCCGCAACCAAGGCGCAGACACAGCAAATGCCCGCTCACCCCAGCAACACAGCCGGGTTTGCGGTGCGCTCAGAAGGGCAGAGTGCAGATCTCAACGACCTTGAGGGGGTGCACGGATGGGTTAGCTCGTGAGTATATGGTGGTGCCAGCCCATGCAAGGCTTTAAGAACCAGTAGAAGGCTCTTAAATTCTACTCTCTTCAAGACCGGTAGCTAGTGTAATGATAAGAGAACCGGAGAAATGTGGTCACGTAATGGGGTTCGGGTGAGCACCCTAACTGAACAATTTGTAGTCTACCAAGGACCTTTATTTGAAACACCAACCAGCGAGGCATTGCAGTAATCGATTCGCGAGAGGAAAACCTCTCAGAATCAACCGCGTAAAAAAATACAAATGCACAACCCCCTTTGTAAATCCACTGCTAGATGAAAGCCCCCCTTGATGCGGCGGTGTTCGTGGGGGGTTGTGTGAGGGCCGTGCAACACCATGCCCGTCAATATGGGTTGGCGAAGAAAGGGCCCAGGAATGGTTCGGATATCTCAAATATTTCAGATATTTTGAGCGTAAGAATTTCTTTGTATTGATGAATCGCTTAATCGCTACTATCCTACTACTCGATACTACTGTTGTTCGTCTGTGAATCACAACCCCATCCCCCTGAAAGCATGACATGCAATCAGCTGGCACACACGGTCTATTTAATTTAAATTATCTTTTATTACCGTTAGTGTTATTGCAGTTTTTTTTTATGATTGTAAATGTCTAGAGTGAAATATGAGGGGACCATCTGAACATAAACGATTAAAAGCTGTAAATGCAAAACTGTCGTTAATGCCTCCTTATGCCGTTTTAAACTTTTTGCATGTACGCCTTTCTGAGACCTCTTTCCCCCTCTCCCTGTGTTGCCGTATTCTCTGGATTATAAGTTGCTCCGGAAAGTAAGACGCAACCCAAAACCTGTCCACGGTGTCTAAAGTTACTCAAAATCTGGTCGCACAATCATGCGCCTATAACAAAACAATTAAGCAGAAGATGCGTCCTCTTCACACTCATGCCGTCTCTCTACATTAAAAACTAATTTATTCCTCACGCAATCCATAAGCCGCCGCCGCCGCCGCCTTCTGCGTGCGTAATCTCATCAGCGTTGTTTTAAAGACGAGCCGAAATCCGGAGCGGTTTCGGCACGCGGTGTCTCTTGGGCAGAGGTCAGGCTTGCTTGAATCGATTCCGGTGAACTGCTGCGACCTCACAGGTGACACCGCCTCACTTGACGGAGAGTTCTCATCGCCATCCATACCCGCCCAACGTTTTTCTTAAAAAAAAATACCGGAGGGGTGAAAAAACAAATTGCGTCCGATATAATCTGCAGAATACGGCACAAAGGCCCCCCCGACTGCCTTCCCCCGAACGTGTCCTGTCCGTCATACAACTTTGTGGATAAACTGCTGTGCTAAAACGATAACCCTTTGCGGTGTGCTGTTTACATCACGGAAGCTGCGCGCCCGAGTTTTCTCCCTCTTACGTTCGCCGCCCGTTACTGCGACGTCGGAGCTGCCAAAAAAACCCCAAGAGGAGGAGGCGACTGGCGTACCGCTACGCGAGATGCCAATTATCTCGCTCGCTCGTTCGCCACGTCAGTCGTTTTCTCGTTGCCACGACGTTCTTTTTTTGTTTGTATCGATTTGTTTATCTAAAATGTTTCATGGTTTCCCCCCCTCACCCCCCCCCCCATCGTTTTTATTTTTGTTTGTTTGTTTCGTTATCGCTGGAACGTGAAAAATAAAAAAGGCTTTTGACACCGAGATGCCCTTCCCGCCCAGGTGTGTGCGTGAAATCTCCCGGCTCTCACCGCTCGCTCGTTCGCTCGCTGGCTCTCACCGCTCGCTCGCTCGCTCGATGCTGAAGCACAACTGAACGTTGGACTCGATCGATCCGTAAGCGTTTTGGAATCCTGCTGAAGACCGGACCATGCGACGTGTACATATTCGTGCCCGCGTATGCACAGCATGTAACAGATGCTATAAATACTCTTTGGTTCTTTCGGTAAAGTCACGTACGTATAAAATAAAATAAATCACGACTTTTCTGGCGCAACACAAGGGTCCGTCATCAGGTGGGAAAGCATGGTCTGCTGCTGAGGCAGACTGTTTTTAAAAGGTTTGAGATGGGTGTAGCCCAAGGGTCATAAAGAAGTGGCTGGGGTTAGTGATGTTAATGTGATAAATTGGCATGTAACTGTAAGATACTTTCCCACCTGATGACGGACGCTTGTGTTGCGCCCGAAACATCGTGAGTTATTTTATTTTCTACCTCCGTGACTTTACCGAAAGAACCAAAGAGTATGGATTCCTGCAGTCACGAAAGCTTCAAATCAAGATGCTATGAATGTTCAAATTTGGGAATAATGGAGTTCTGTGAATAAATGTATACACACACAGGATGTGCACAAGATGGCTGGAGCTGGTGTAGGCCAATCAGTGCATCTATCATCAGAGCAAGTTTGCATGTTCACCTCTCAATTAATTTCGGATTCTTGGTCGAGGTTTAGTAAAACCAACGGATTTGAGGTGACCCCACAGGAAGAAGAGATAAATATTAATAATGATAATAGATTAAATATTAACTTAAAGAATACATCAATTCAAATGTTGTAATGCCCGCGAAGATAAATCACGTAACCCTGTGTGTCCTAACTTTTGGGCCACCCTGTATATATTTGGTCAGGTCACAAATGAGACGATGGGATAAGAGGAGAGAGGGTCACGAACGTTCGAGAGACATTGGAATAAAGACACGCGGAGCAGAGAGAGAGATGAGGGTCGTAGAGTAACAGAGAGGAAGATAAACGTCCATAATAAAGATTGTTTGGGTTTAGATCTCGTAAATATAAACGTGTCGTTAACCCGCCACCAACCGACACATTCAATTGGTAAACAAAACTTGCCAATTAGTTACTATTTCATCCCGCCAGTGTGGTGGAGAGTTAAACCCACAACTTATTAAAAGAGGACGACGTTTCGCTGGTAATTACATCCAGCATCATCTGGCGATGTTGCCAGAATTCCCTGCGTCGGGTGTTGGCGGGTTAACGACACATTTATACTTTCGCGATCCAACCCAACAAACGCCCCCCACCCCCCCCTTTATTATGAATAACATTGGCCGCGAAAGCTTACGTGTCAAACTGGACATAAACGTCAGTGACCACGTTCACCTCGATTCACGCCATGCGTGAAACAAGGCCACCGGTAAGCGAGTAAGACGTTAAGCCAGATTTGCCACGAAATCTGAATCGGGTGGCATGTGCAAGTCCACCTACTTGCCCGGCTAATCACTTGATATCAAGGCAGGCAACTCAGGTACTGTACCATTATTGGAGGAAATCCCGACTTTGCTTGGCAGATGGATCTGCTGGGTGCACGTGGTTTGCACTGGGCGGCCTAAAACCTTGGTTTCGCATCACCTCGCGCGGGTCAGAATCAGAATATTTAATTACGCTGGAGGAATCCGATGAGCTATAAAGCTTTTTCCCCCAACAGATGTCCAGTAAGGGATGGGTAAGAACGTTACACAACAAACATCAAAAGAGTTTTTGCAATCCGAAGTCAGAGGTGCATAATGGAGGATCGTCCTGACCAAGAAAGACTTTGAGACTCGGAGAGTATCGGCTTAATAATGGGCATGGTCATTTTCACATATGAAGTTTTCAAATGTTCTTAGCATGTCGGTTTTACGTCTCATGGCGTCATGGTCAACGGTTAAGTTCCACCACGTGCTGCTGGACGGGCGAAAGGGGGCTGATGGAGCTCTGGTGGGTGACGGGGAGTGCGTGTGTGACTCGCGTGTATGTTCTGTACACGGTCCAGACTTGGTGATATAATCACATCCTGGTCATTCACACCGTCTATGCTTTGTATAAACAACCGCGGCGCCTGTGCCAGGCTAGGTGCACTTTGAGGCCACGTGAAGTGTCAAAGGCCTGCTGGCAGGAGGTCACAGAACAGACCAAGCATGTGCCATGAGGTTGACTGGCTGAGATGACCGGCAGATGCACCAACTGTGCTCCCCACTGTGCCAACTCTCTGCGTTTTACGCGCCCGCCGCTCCGCTCGTTGTTGTGAGCGTTGCTCCTCCGCCCTCCGTTGTTGCGGGGGGGGGGGGGGGGACTGCCTCCAACTGCCCAGTAGCAAGCAGCATCCTTCACGAGCCTCATCTACAGAGGCCGATCCTGACACCGCTGGCAGCAGTCATTGGTAAGTCGAATCAGCTCTGCATCCTTCTGTACCGCATCGGTCGCCATCTCTTCTCCAGCCCGTGTTTTTGACAAATGTGTTGAGCTTTCCTGTGCTCTTTGTGCAGCACTGCCAACGGGGTATCACCGAATAACCTGTGCCGATCCATCGTAAGCAAACGCGGCAATACAAAACGTAATTGCTGTTTACCCACCTAGCATGGGAGTGGAGGTGTAAGGATATCGTTTGTTTGTTACCGCTTCTTAAAAGTGTGCAAACCGGTTCACATGCAAATGTTTCCCGTCACGTGGATACACCGAGTCTCCGACCCTCGACGAGTGAGGAGCAACGGGTTATTGAAACGTGAACGTGCGTTCAACACGTTCCATTGATTTGTTTCGCCAGAGCGGTTAATCAACACATCCCAGGATAATCCTCCCACAGATAATCAAGAATGAATGGTAACAATTATGAACGATATCAAAATAATCATCATCACATACCTGTCAACCCATACGGTTTACCCGTATTCTTGTACAGGGAAATTGAATGTTCAGGTCCATACGGCGTACATCCGTTCCAAAAAAACTAAACAAAACATTGTCTATTTGTGCTTCTCTCTTGTGATGGGACTTTGTAGGATGAACGTTGAGCTTTATAAGGGCACGGGGTGACCAAAACGGTCTGAATTGGTCTATGATAAGGTAGGGCACTGATAAAGGGTTGACAGGTATGTCGTCATCATCATCATCTCCACGTGCTCGGATGAGCAAGTGGGTTGTTCCCCTTCTTCGTTCGCTGGTTCCGAGTCAGCGGCGTCCAACTCCACGCTCCTAGGGCGAGGTGTCCAGTCCCGTGCCTGGCAGTTAAGAATGCGCGAGCGAATCACCGGAACGATCTCTCGCACGCGTTCAGGTATCTCCACGGTGCAAAAGAGACACAATGAAGTACCGTCGAATTTCAAACAAACGCGTCAACGTTTAAAACGAGCCCACGCGAATACGCAACACACGACACGCGCACAACGCACACATGGAGACGAACCATGCGGACACAAACCCCGAGCGTGCGTGCTTACCACTCGCTCACCGGAGGCATGCACGACCAACTACGAGGATAATAACAACAGTGTCTACGGATAGAATGCCGATACGTTGGTAACGCGTTCCTGTGGACGGGCTGTACGTGACGTGGATTGTGTGCGTCGTCGCGATTCTGACCCGCGCAGTGAACGTTTCGTGTGAACTCTGCTACTCCCGTGCGCGATTGCGATTTTGTGTCAAATTTTCGCCACTAGAGTGCAGGCACACCACGTGATCAACGACGGCGAAGGCCCCCCCCCCTTGCACATCTGCACATTGGAAGAGCGGTTTTTATTATGATTTATTTTTCTAAGGATAGAACGTGAAAATTGTCAACATGCAAATTACAAGAAAACATTCCAAGCGATGCACAATCATGTTTGAGATCGAATATGGAGTTGTAGCATCATGGATTCAATGTATAATGGAATGTGTTAACAGTGGTGTAAAAGCACACATTTGAAAAAAATACCATTAACACTGCCTTGCAAAAGGAACAAAATATGTACAGTATATTATACATCGTAGGCTTACGTTTCCAACTATATATTTTCGTTTTTGCGACAAGACAATGCTACTAATGAACACGAGAAAAACGATTAGTGCAAAAGAAAAACAAGATAAAGCATTTATTGAACAATAATTTGTTCATGTGCTCAATAATGTGCATCTGTACGACCTCTTGAGATGCATTTGTAGTTAAGCACTAGAAACTGAAAATAATATGTAATTTTATATTCATAGAGCGCCTGAGCTCAAGGCGCTTTACACTGTTTAATCACGGTAACATAAACAATGGTTTAGATGACAAGGGGCGTGCAAGGGACGAGGAATAAGTGACCGTAACAGAGGGCCCAGTGGGGTCATGAAAGGGCTACATGAGAGGGACGGGACGGAGTGGAGGGGAGGGAAGAGGACATCATTACGATAAACTATTGTTTTTATTTTACCAGGTAAGACCAACTGAGCTGTGCTATCTATTTTTTTAGAAGCGACCTGGCCACAAATGGTAGCTCACGTGGAAATGTATATCAGCCAAAATACTCTAAACGCGTGTTTCTAATGTGGAGGGAAAACCCGAAAGATTCGGAGATAACTCCACGCGACTACGGGGAGAACATGCAAACTCCAAATATACAGGCACCAGGGGCAGGATAGAACCCACGACCTCCAGTATACCAGGCGAGGGAGTTAACATCTCGCCACCGCGGCACCCCTGAATGCACCTGATACCGTCAAATCTTGGAAGCAAGCCAAGCGTGTTTAATCCTGGTTGGTACTTGTATGCGAATAACTAGGTGTTGTTACTCATAGGCCTGAGAGGTGACCAAGTGATCGCAAGTAGAGCAATTGACTCTTGCATCTATCTGTGCGGAGCATGGTATGCCCACGTGTGCGTGTTTCTTTCCAGGTACTCTTGTTTGTGTCCACATCAAGCCAAACACTCACTAAAGGAATTAGCCAAATGCCCCTTTGCGGAACACTCGTGAAACATGCGTTTTGAGACTCATAGAGGCTTTCCCGGGTTAAGGGCATTATTAATAGGATTATATTTCAGAGCGGTGGCACAGTGGCGAGCCGACTGTTCGTTTGAGCCCACAGAAATGAGTTTGAATCCTGCCCACGGCTAACATCAGTGGGCGAGTGATAGGTATATCTGAACCAATCCTGGGCCCCACTTCCACCAGTCCGCATCCGCGTGATGAATGATGGTCAAACGATCATCACGACCACAACACGGTGCGGTGGGGGAGGCCTTCATCCAGCAATGGATTGACAAGAGGACTGTACGTAATTCCGACTGTATTAAATTTTGATTTAAAGCTTTCGTGACTGCAAGGATTCATCTTCTTGGTTCTTTCGGTAAAGTCACATAGAAGGGAAGTAATAAAGTAATAAAAATAAAACATAATAAAATTAATTTTATTATGTTTTATTTTTATTATGTTTAATTTTTATTATTTTATTACTTCCCTTCTACGTGACTTTACCGAAAGAACCAAGAAGATCCGACTGTATTGTTACCCTCATTACTCACCGAACAGATCGGCTGCTTGGCTGCGTTTCTTTCTTATCTTTTCTCGCAGCATTGCACGTCGCAGTTGGAAAATAACGGGAGCCAAACATTGCGGCGCGGGGCTTTTGGCCGTTTCACGAGGGGCCGGTGCGTTATAAACATCACAAAGCAGCCCTCGAGGGGGTTTGCATTGTACTGCCGCGTGTGCAACGCGCCGCGTCAGTATTGTGATGATGGGTGCATGGGATTGTTCAGCCGACCGGATGTGCGCGGTGTGCATGTGTGTGAAACATGCCGTGGGGAGGGGGGGGGGTGAGCGGTATTGTCGCGGTTAGCGCGTTCACCTTCAGTAGTGAACCGGTCCCTGGGTCTCCCCCTAGGTCGACTCAGCCTCAATTGATTAGCTAGTGCGATGTGTAAAAAATTAACCCGTAAAAACAAAGTTTTTCACTATATATACGCGTGGCATCGGTTTTATTTTATTATGCATTTCTGTTTTTCTTGAGTAAGAGTTTCATTTTTATCACATTGGTATTTTAAATTAAATATGAAAAAAAAAAATTCCTAAAAAAATTTTTTCCCCTAAAACATTTTTTTTTCACGAAAATAAATTGTCACGCACAACGAGTCTGTGTGCAAAATGTCAGCTCGATTGGATGACGGGAAGTGGGTTAAAAAAAACGACCGAAAGATTTGCACGGTCGTAAGCGCGCAAGCAAGCAAGCAAGTGAACTTAATATAAAGGATTTAAAAAAAACATTGCCACTGGGGAGACAAAGTCGGCCGGGTGTGGTGGCTGGCCACCCACACCCCTCGTGCGTCGTCGTTCCGGCCTTCGTAGGTGCTCGCTAACACAGCACTTGGCTCCACGGCAGTCGTGAGGCGACACTGGGGGATGTTTGTGTTTGAAGCGTGCAACACACAGACAGCGACTGGAGAGACGAAGGCGGTGGGGGAGTGCTTCTGAGCACGCAGCCGCTTCGTGCGCTGCACCAACCAATTACATAGAACGTTTACGCAATGAAAACACCGGTTACTGCATGCCACGATTCTCTATCGGATACATCGTTCCACGTGCAGCAAATGCACTGCGCGTGTGATGAGAGTCACGTGGGTGCTGTGCAGGTGAGACATGATTGCAGGTGGTGAAATGAAATTATACAGCAATTAGAGATATTGTTTACGCATGCGTTTACGTCTACACAGTACTAATTATTCACTTTGGAACATCTGAGTAATATCAACAGCGAGTATAATATACCCCTACACGTGAAACTATTTCCCACGCAAGTTCACTCTTGCACTGAATGGGCTCCATTGTTAAGGTGGAGTGCTCTTGCCAATACCATTGATGGCATTTGTTTAACAGGTCTGACACTATTGATGAGGCTGTGAGAACCAAAACCGGCCCAGCGTTTGCCTGGTTGTAGCGGTTAGCGCGCTGCGCCGCGAACCCAGTGACATGAGTTCGATTCCTGCTCACAGCCAACACCAGTAACGATTATCTGAATTGGTCCTGGGCCTCCCACGAGGTCGACTCAGCTTCAAATGAGCACCTGGTGCGGTGTGTAAACAAGAGTCTGTTCAGTCTATACGGGGGAATCTTTGTCTTTTGTAAATACGCTAATGAGCACGAATTCAGTTACTCGGCATTCAGTACGTCACATCTGGGGCATGTCTATCACTCATCAGGCATGCGTGATGTGTAACGACTCAATTGAAAATTTTAATGAACTCGAAAATAATTACTCCCATGGGTTGTGAGGAATTACATTTTTAAAAACCCCGACTATACGCTACAAGTCATTCTCGACCTGGAGCCCGGCGTTTCTCAACCCCAGTCCTTGCAGTCCCTCCAAACGGTCTACGTTTTCGTGACCACCAATCTCAACCGAATGCTACTGAAGCCACTGCACGCGGCATTGCAACTGATGGTTTGGTAATCATGGAAAGCTGGACTGGAACAGAGCTCGAAATCAGCCGGAGCTGTCCAGGGCTGAGCCCCAGAAAATATTTCTCCCCCCCCACACCCCACCATTGTTAGAGGGAGGACGAGGGGGGAGGATGAGGGGGGAGGGCGGGGGGGGTGGGGGATTGGGTGCTCTCTGAAAATATTCCATGAGAAATGAATCCCTGACCATAAACAATTCACGTGACTGATCTGAAGCTAGAAATGCCAACGTTAAATTGTAAACAAGTAACAACAAAATGTACATATGTATAACCGACACGTATAAAATCGGCACGCTCTCACGGCAGATGCACAATCGCGCAGTGCGTGATGACTAGGCCTCGGCAAGGTAAGGTAAAAGTGTAAAAGCAACGAGCCTACCTTTACCCTACCTTTTACCTTACCACAATACAATCACTCTACCCTACCTTTTACCCTTTGGCAGATAAGGTAAACGGTAAAAAGCAACGAGCCTACCTTTTACCCTACCCTTTACCCTTATCCCTTGGCATGTCGACACCTTTACCTTTACCGTTTTACCCGGTAAAAAGGGTACAATTACATTACCTTGCCGAAGCCTAGTGATGACGTTAGGGGTGGGAGCGTGGCCCGGGAGAGGATTCATCGCTGTTTCCCTTCGACTGCTTCATCGAGTTTCAGGATCAGTGACTGCAATTTGCAGCCGTACGAAAACTCGCATTTCCACCGTCGTCATTGACAAACGATGCCGGGTAAGTGTTAAAGTAACTGGGTGGGTGCGATGGGTTTTTTGTGGACAAAGTGTCTTGCTTCAGAGCAGGCGGACAGCGGGCCGTGACTACCCAGTAAACACGTGCCAGTGTTGGCGCAACGTTCGTGCAACGTTCAACGTTCGCGTGGGGATAAAGCTCGTTGTACAGGTGGCCCAGATGTCTTGTGACCCCTCCTCCAATTAATCGACCCCTTAAAAATGTGTTGCCTTTGCGTATTTATTACTGTATTAAAATAAACCTTACTTTAAAAAATATTAAGTTTCGCAGAATTAAATGGGGGGGGGGGGGGGGTCACAAGACATCCTGTACTGTGGAGTGGCGATGGGAATGCAGCGATGTCACAGTTTGAGCGCGAGTGTGCTACGAATCCGCTGACTGAAGATCAATGCTGGGCCACAAATAACATCAGTTGCGAGTGATATTTGAACTTGTGGGTCCACCCCCCCCAATTAACAACAACAAACTAGGTTGGTGAAGTATGGTCAAACGACCCTCATGACTTCTCAACTCCAAGGCATGGGTGGGAGGCCTTTGTCCAGCAGTGGATTGACAAAGGGCTATTCAAAAATAGTGGGGTTGTGATATTTTAGAATAAAAAAATGAAAACACGATCAGTCAGCATATTCTTATCACAACAGCTGCAAATGCCAGCCACACACAGAGGCTCACCCGACCTCACAAACACGAGTTGGTATCCCGGTCCGGATATTTGTATGGCTCGTAGAACTCATCGCATGAACAATTACAGTTGATGTGGTGACACGTGTCGGAGGATTATTCCCTCGTTTTATTTCATTTCGCAATACCAGTACCCTTTCAGGATTTGAATGTCACAGTTGAGGAAGTTATTCACGCAATGGCTGCAGAGCGAGTCACCACAACGTGAAGGAGTGTCCTCCGGAACTCATCCGTCCATTGGTGTTGTCATATCCAGGTTCCAACACTTCTTCTGAGTCCTCGTTGGCGAGATGTTAACTCCCTCGCCTGATATACTGGAGGTCGTGGGTTCAATCTCGACCCTGACACCTGCTGCTGTATATTTTGAGTTTGCGGTGTCTCTCTCCCCGCGGCGGTGTGTATTTTTCTCTGGGTCCTTTATATTTCCCTCCGCATCTAGATTTTACCTGCGTTCACAGTGTGTTTGGCTGCTGTAAATGTGCACGTGATAAGCCACTTCGTTGAGCTGTCATTTGTGGCCACGTCGCTTCTGAAAAAGAGCTATGTGGCCCAAGTGGGGCCTTACCTGGTAAAATAAAAAATAATTGTTCATAGAATCCTTTAACCGCACCCCGAGCTTCGGAGCGAACGCTACCTCGCGTGTTTCCCATGCAGTTTGATGTTCTTTTGCTGTGTTTTTTTCACATTTCCCAGCGCATGGTCCACTCCAACAACAAACACACACTGCTCGGCTTTGAGGGTCGTATGCCTCATTATTTACAGAGCTCACTGCAGGGATTTTTACAGAGTTGGCGACTATTTTCGGTGAAGGAGGGAAGGTGGGGGCGTTGGAGGGAAGGTGGGGGCGTTGGGGGGGGTGGGAAGTGGTTACCATATGGAAGGGGTAACGAGCTTACCCTTTGGATACAACCTTTGCTTTCAAAATGTGTTCCAGGATAGAAAGGTTTAAAAACTCAGCCGGCAGACTACTGCTGCAGGCTGCCAGCCCAGTTTTAAAGTATGGACTTCTTAACTGCATGGCATGGGTGGGAGGCCTTTGTCCAGCAGCGGATTGACAAAGGGCTTTACGAAATTAGCGGCGATGGGTTGTGAGATTTTTCTGAAAAAAACAAAAAGACCCAAATCAACGATGGGCACCATTCTTCGCACGGCAGCTGGAGATGCCAGCCACACACAGAGGCTCACCCCGGACCTGACAGACACGAGTTGGTCTCCCAGCCCGGCACATTTGTATGGCTCGCAGAACCCATGAACAATTATGGTCAAGCGCTGGGGTTGGCAAGGCGCGCGCGATATTTTCAGTGCTTCTCAAACGCTTTTTCATTGCGCGTCACACCGAGTTACGCTGCGCCGTTGCCGAGGGCTACGGCGTGAGTTGGGGTGGGGGGGTGGTGATGGTTTCTTGAGGTTCTTTCCTACAATTTCGATTTCTTCCTCGTGTGTCGTGGCACACCGCTTGTCGAGCACTGCGCGATATTTTCAGTTTCACAATGCGTCGACGCTGCTGCAACCTACGCGATAAAAACTAAAATCAATTGCGTGCTCCGTACCCTCCCCCCCCCCCCCAGCCTGAAAATGTAGAAATCGTTTACATCGTCCCTAAACATTTAATATATATTTTATTAAATAAAATTTACACTCCCCCACTTAGCACACCGAGTTTTGCTCGGCGTACCGCAACCTCAGGAGCACATTGGACAGCACGTCCTGGTAGAGGCTGAGCAGCACCCAGCCGGGCAGGTACATGAGCGTGATGAGGCCCATGAAGTTGAGCGGGTAGTGCGAGTAATCCCAGGAGCAGGCGCCGATCTGGCGCAGCGCCAGCCCCCAGGTGAACTCCCACGTGTAGATGCACGCGATGTAGACGGGCAGCCGCCTGAGCGTGCCCCAGCCGCGCCGGCCCGCCAGGTGCAGGTACAGGCGCTCCACCACGAAGCTGCAGCTGCCGTACATGGCGAACGACCAGAGCGACGTGTGCCCGTGCAGCGTCCAGTCGGACTTCTCGAAGAGGTTGAAGAACGCCGTGAAGAACACCTCGTCCACCAGGCCTTGCACGCCGAAGAAGAGGAGGTGGAAGGCGGGCGGGATGGAGAGGCGCGCGCTGCGCTGGAGCGACGCGGGCAGGGCGACGTCGCGGGCGTAGCGCAGCCGCAGGAAGTCGTCGAGGAAGACGAAGGTGTAGTAGAGGGCGACGAGGAGGTTGAAGGGCACGGACGAGGCGGCGGCTCGCTCGCCGTCTTGCGCGACGCGGCCCAGCAGCGCGGTGCGCGTCGACAGGCGGCTCGCGACGAACACGAGCGAGAGGAGCACCAGCTTGCACCAGATGGGGCTCGCCGGGAAGAGGCGCTTCTGCAGCACGTACGCCTTCTCGAGCGCCAGCGCGACGAGCGCGTGCGACAGCGCAAAGTACGGCGACGAGAAGCCGAAGAGGCGCCAGTCGCCCGTGCGGCGGAAGGACAGCGCCGCCGACAGCAGCACGTCGAGCGCGATGCCGTGGATCGCGTACAGGTACAGGCGGAACCACAGCGACAGGCGCTCGCCGCCGCCGGCCGTCGGCGGGTCGCGCGGCGCCGGGGACCGCTGCTCCGCTAGGGTCGTCGGCGGCATCGTCGGCGGCGCAGAGCCGTTGTGGCTGACGGCTTCCGTCGGTGTCGACGGGCTGGTGCGGCTGCTTCCGCCGCTGCTGATAATGCTGCTGCTGCTACTGCTGGTGCAGCGAGACCCCCCGGTCGGGTGAGCCGAGCCCTGATGCGGGGACTTGCGGGGGCCCAGGCGCCGCGTGATCGGCATGTTGGCGGTGGTGGTCGTGGTGGTGGCGGTGGGGTTGTGGCGTGGGATCTAAAGTTGGGCCGGTTTTGTCTGCGGATTATGACATCACGCGGTCTCACTGTGCTGGCCACCCTGCGGACACCTGGGGAGAAGCGACAGCGACGTTAATTGCGGCAATTTCCTAGTTAATCAAATCCTGACCGATATTTCACCACGTCGGTCACCACGGGATTTGTGATAGTGGGGAGAATAGACATGGGAGCAGAGAAGTACAGTACAACAGTGGATGTGTAATACCCGTCCACGTAGCCCCGTGTTCTATAACATCTTTCAGGCATGGCAGTTTCCATCCAAACACGATCTATGCTCAATCCTGTTCAGCTCACAGTTTATTTGGTCAAAGGCCATAATGATATGAATAATGGATTTACTGTACGAAGCGGGTAGGTTGATAGGTGTCTGCTACAGGGTGGTTGAGATGTCTTGTGACCCGCAATTAATTGACCACGAACATTTTGTTTCCTTTGCACATGCATTTCTGTATAAGTAAATAAATCTCACTTTCAAAATATTACATTTTAGAGAATGAAATGGGGGTCACACGATATCTGGACCAGCCTGGACATCGGAGCCATTCAGTCGGCAGCTTGTAAATCGTGGACTCAAGAGTTTCCCTCTGCCTAGCTGCTAGCACCTGGCAGCACGAACATTGTAGCTTTGTCCTCTGTCACTGGTAGGAACCTCCTGGTTACACCAGCCCACAGGGGATTATTGTGTCCGTCCGTCGTGCAGGGAGGGGCTGGGTGAGGAGGGGCTGGCTGGGTGGGGAGAGTGGGGAGGGGCTGGGTGGGGAGGGTGGGGATGGGTGGGGGGTGGGGCTGGGTGGGGAGGGGAGGGGCTGGTCACCCCGTGGTGCCCTTATAAAACTCAACGTTTAACATACTCACGCCGGCTTGTGCCCGCCCTCACAGTCGGGCATATTTGCGGAATACACCACGCCGCCGTTGACCCTGGCCATTGACCGAGCAACCCAACGTTCCTACCAGCTCCCTTCAGGTAAGGCCCACTGAGCGATGTAGCTATTTTTACGAAGCGATCTGGCGATCAGAAATTATAGCCCAATCACGTGGAAAATTTATCGCAGCCAAATGCTGTAAACGCACGTTGATTATAAATGTGGAGGGGGGGGGGGGAAACGGAGGATCCAGAGAAAAATCTACGCGACCAAGGGGAGAGAGACATGCAAATTCCAAATGTACAGTAAGCGTCATGGTCAGGATCGAACCCACGATCTCCTGCACACCAGGCGAGGGAGTTAACATCTCGCGGTGTTGATGACGCTGCTCAGCATCGCGTTGCTTTTTCTTTTTGCGTTTGATTTACCTGACCTTGTTTTTAACTCGTGTTCCCTTCAAATGTCATTTTCTCTTTTTTTTACCTCTCTCATGCAATACCCTTCTCGGCAAAAACCAACATCGCAATACAGAGATGTTAATGCCATTTGCGGGGTAAACGACGAGGCTTCAGTAGCACCGAAAATCATCTTCAGGACTTCGCTGTAATCCAGGGCGGTTCATACATTTCGCAAAGCGTGCAGATCACATTTGGGCAGGTTGCATAAGACACGTGAAGTGATAATTGCACTCTCTGTGTGCGCCACATTCCCCCGTGTCGTTGCGTAGGAACCCGTGCTCCCTCGAGGTGTCTTACATAAGCCGGCAATCGATCTCAAAGGGTCGGCGTTGCGTAGTTCGTGTGTGCTAATATGAGTGATTTAGTGCAGAGATGGGACAATTTGATCGACCAAGTAAATTAATTACGCAACTTATTTTTCGCTACTTCTGCCGTTTTTTTAATATCCCTGCCAAACTGGTGAGGCGTGCCCAGCCCGTGAGGGCATTACAGTGCACGAAAATATATACAGGCGATGTAAAACGATGTTGTATAAATTTCTCCGAAAAAAATTAAAACACGCGAAATTTTCCGCCAAAATCTTACGTTTCAATAACACGAAACGCCACGCTAGCAGACAGACACATTGCAGCATCAACAGACTTTTTGGGGCAAGTGTTGTTTGCAAGCGCACGTGAATAACGCCGGATCGAATCGACGCCCGAGTTTCACCAACTTTAGATCTTAAGTTTCCGTGACTGCAATGATCCATACTCTTGAGTTCTTTCGGTAAAGTCACGTAGGTATAAAAGAAAATTAATTTATTTTTATATTTTATTTTTTTAAATTTTATTTTATACCTACGTGACTTTACCGAAAGAACTATAGAGTATTCACCAACTTTGTTTTCTTTAAACCTGATGGGAACGCAGCGATTCACCGCCTTTGTATCTCTACCTCTCTCTGATACTCCTGCTGTTAGGGAGTCACTCATGCTGCCAGCTATGGCTGCAAAGTTTGGTCGTACATGTTATGTGTATATCGTTTATTGTTACATTTCAATCACAGTTCCTATGATCACTGTTACATTGCTTTTTATAGATTTATTTTGGTGATTTCGAAAACGTATGGTTTGGCCATATTTGTTTGTTGAAGTACAGAGTTAGCCTGATAAATTTAATCAAAATTGTCTTATGGTTGTCATTGTTTGACTTGCATCCCACTGGGATTTTTGCACACAGCGTTGATATACGGTGTTTTATTCTGGAAGACTTTGCTGTTTTTTCCTGGATTTTCTTGTTACGTGTAGTCACTTTAAGATGTTTCTTGTTCATGTTTTTGTTTGTTGCGGTTGCACCCGAGTCAAGAGCCGCATGGCTCACAGGGCTACACCTAATGAATGAAACTGAAAAAACCTGTCGTGCTGATGTTTAGACACCGCGCCAGGCTCTCATTTGAGGGCTGTGTTGACACACGCGGACAATACTGTAACTCGATTGTTCGACTAATTGGGAATCGATCTGAAAACGTAGTTCGGTGGCGTATCAACGACAGTCGCAGTCTGTATCGAACCAGATTAGATAATCTTTGCTTGTGGGAGAAGTGGAGATGTGGCAGCCGATATATTTATGTAGAACCTCTTTCGCGCCGTACGTAGCCAACCGTGCTAATCTAGAGACAAAACGCAGTTCTAAACAAATTAGTTTTCAATCTACGTTTGAAAGTGCATAGCTCCAGTGGCTTCCAAATATCGGAAGAGCGGTCCAGACGGCCCCAGAAGCGCATCTGAAAAGCGCGTGATGCGGTGACCGTCTTTGTTCGATGGGACTGCCAAAATCCGCTGCTGTTGCGAGCATGATCACGTGATGGCGGTTTACGCTCCTTGACGAGATCGGCAAGGTGATTGTGGCTCAGTTTAGGCAAACACTTTGATTATAATACAGATGAAGAGACGTCATAGCTCACAATAGAGGACACACGCAGGTCAAAGACTGGCTGTTGATAAACTAAACTATGTTTTATTTTAGCAGGTAAGGCCCACTGAGCTCTATAGCTATTTTTCAGAAGCGACCTGGCCACAGATGATAGCTCAACGAAGTGGCTTATCACGTGGAAATATATAGCGGCCAAATACTCTAAACGCGTGTTTCAAACTGCGGAGGGAAAACCCAGAGGACCCGGAGAAACATCCACACGCGACCACGGGGAGAGAGAGAGAGACGCAAACTCCAAATATAGAGGCATGGTCAAGGTCGGCATCGAACCCACGACCTCCTGTATACCAGGCGAGCTAGTTAACATCTGATTATTTACTACCATAACGAGCCAAGAATGTCTGTGTCCCGACGCGTGACGTCACTCCACGTCGGCCAGCCCCCCTCATTAATAATCATGAGCGGGTGACGTCACTCCACATGTAACACCTCCCCCCTCATTAATAATCATGAGTGGGTGACGTCACTCCACATGTAGCACCTCCCCCCTCATTAATAATCATGAGCGGGTGACGTCACTCCACATGTAGCACCTCCCCCCTCATTAATAATCATGAGCGGGTGACGTCACTCCACATGTAGCACCTCCCCCCTCATTAATAATCATGAGCAGGTGACGTCACTCCACATGGGGGGGGGGGGCGAGGCGCCTCCTCCCCCCTCCTCGGCGTCAACTTACAACCCTCACTACAAAGGCAGAACCCTCACGTCACGCGATCTCCGTAACGCTGTTGAGACATCAAAGTAAAAAGGACGTCATGATGAACAAGGGATTATACCTTTAAATAATAAAATAGGTCTGTGTCACCGCGCCCTTACAAATTGCACACGAATTGATGCAATGAATATATCACGTCGCGGTCTGCTCTTCGCTTGCAAGTTTCAGATTTACTGCAATACACCCGTCCTTGGACGGGCAAATAAAGGATCGTGATGATGATAATCTTGTAATAGGTTTTTATCCTTTCAACTGGTACAAAACTGACACCTTTATACAAGGGATCATGTTTGCAATAACCACAACACAAGCAGTCAAAATGCAAACAAAAAGAAACAACGCTGATAATGATATGCACTGTCCTTGACGTTGATTGGTCCACACCCGGACAGCTTTTCTTAGAGCCTAGTCTCCATTGGTGTTGGACCAGATGACGCCAAAAGGCGTACAACTCAAAGACCATCAGAGTATGGCGAATGTACCGCAGAGCAACGACTCGAATCATCATCATCTCTCTGAACATGATGACGACGACGAAACAAGCTCACGATATCACAGCTCTCGCAGTAACACGAGCCCAGCCCGAACACGCACACCGAATATCACGCGATGAAACCCACACGGGGGGCCGCGACTGCGCGCACACCGTGTGGCAAAGGGGCCGTCCATAAATGACGTCACGCACCTGGGGGGGGGGTCAGACATTTGTGACGATGTGTGACGAGGGGGGGGGGGGGTTGAGAAATGTGACGTCGCATCAAAATGCGCAACTTTAAATAAATATAGACAACACGTTCTACTTAATTAAATAGAATAATGTTTTCTCCTACAACATCAGAGTGCAGCGCCACATTTAATACGCACTTCAATGACAAGAGTTTAAAGCGATTTTAAGCATGTTTTATTTTTTTGTGGGGGGGGGGCAGAGCTTTGTGACGTCATATTTGAGGGTGGGGGTCTGACTTTTTGTGACGCCGTGTGACGAAGGGGGGGGGGGGGGGTCAAAAATCGTCCTAAATCGGGTGACGTCATTTATGG